AGTGTTCTCTACAACCAAGCAGCCGACTCCATGTTTACCCCGGTGCCCACAGGTCCAGCGTACGTGAATGCTCTGTGATGGTGGATTAACGGTGAAACAGTTTGAAATGAAAACATGTTAATGGGGATGTGGCCTCAGAAACAATTACATTTCTTAATTAAATTTTTTAGTCAGTTTCCAGCATATAAAAGGCATTTACATCAATCAGCCACAACACTGGAGCCACTGACAGAGCAAGTAAATACCAATAACTGTTGCAATGCAGTGGCTCCGGTTAAGGGGACGGAATAAATCAGTGAACAGTTCTTAAAATCGATGTGTTTGAAGCATGAAAAGTGGGCAGCATAAGGATCTGAGCAACTCTGACGAGGACAAGAACTGTCATGGCTCAGCGACTGGGAGGTCTACTGGGGGTTTCCCAGTCTGAAGTCTTAAACACCTACCGAGAAAGGACAACCAGGTATGAGGGGACCTACACAGTATGTGCTGCAGCTTTACCCTGTGTATACCTTCACGTGTCTACCAGGTGTGGAAAGACAGCAGGATAAGGACAAAAAGGGATGCTTCAGATTCAACAAGCCCGGTGAACACACACACACATACACACACACGCGCGCGCGTTGGCTAAAAGATTTGTGGAAAATATCTTATTCTGACAGACCTAGCGTTAGTTATTTGTTGTACAACTTGTGTTGTTAGTCAGGCCTCTGTTTGTGTCCACTGTGTCATAGATTTAAAACATGCAATGAAGCATTAGACAGACACTACAGAGAATGAACCCTGGATCAGACGCACCGTTTAACGTATGTCCTAAATTGCATCGTCTTCAATTTGCTAATAGCTTCAAACTGTGACTTCCATTTAAAACCAATTAATTATTTACAAGCACGCACGGTTGCTCCTGTTTCACTATTTTTTCACATTAATTGTATGTCAAAACTTACGGCTTAAGTCCAGTGTTCAACAGGAATACACAACGCTGCACAAAAACACACAACCATGCAGCCACAACAATGCACAAGAGCTAGCTCTGTTAGCGGCAAGCTAGCCATGACGGCGGCTGTGAACAACAGTGTCCTCTCCATGAAGCTGGCTAAACAGTGTGGCGGTCTCAAGAAAGACATGGCAGTCATAACCCAGAGCTCTCAGGTGACGTCCTCCACCAGACGGTTGGCTCGTTTCAGAAAGGCCTCACCAGAGTCGACAATTTGTAGAACAAGCCAAAATCAAACTGGATCAAACTGACAGTTTAGAGAATTAAGATGAAACAACCTACAGACAACAGGTGTGCCTCAAGGTAACGAGACCAGACAAGATGCTGTTCAATTAGTCGCTAAAATGCTGACGAACATCTGGTTCCAGAGGTGTGGGACCCACCACTGGGACTTGGGAGGGCCCACAGCGTTCCCCTCCCTCGGCCCAAAGGAGGAGCTGCTCCCAGCACCAGAATAGTACCGTAACGTCTGGACTATAAGCCGCTACTTTTTTCACATACTTTGAACGCTGTGGCTTAAACAACGACGCGGCTAATTTGTGGATTTTTACGAATTTGCCTCGAGACCAAAGTGACGCTGAGAGCTACAGCAACAGAGAGACTGAGGAAGTGACGAAGTGATTCTGTTCAACTCCTGAAGACACTGAAGTAGACGACTTTAGTGGTTTTAGTGCAGGAGGAAGATGAAGATAGCGATCAGTGACTTTTCCTAGTAGGCTGCTGGAGTTTTATTTCCTTAACCAGCCGTGTTACAGGCGCTGTTCAGAAAAAAGCATCTACGGTACGTATCTGTGGATGTTACCGCTACATATTTAATTAACAGTTAAAACATCTTTCTGTGTAAATTTCTCATGTTCCAACGTGGACACCTGCAGCTTAGAGACCAGTGCAGCCTGTATATGTACACACCTGGTTTTCTGTTTAAAGTTAGTGGGTGGAGCTTATATTCAGGTGCCTCAATCGTCCGGTATTTACGGTAGTTATGTTTTCATTGATACAGCCGTCCACGAGGTGCAACAGCAGGAACCTCACATGGGTCACATGTCTGTTTACCTGATGCTGCTGCACCTTTGCGGGCCATAGCAGCAGCAGACGTCCTCAGCAGAGCTCTGCGGCCTGACGGAGGCTGCTGGGGGCTGAAAGCACCGTGTTGCCATCATTCCAACATTGCATCTGAAAAGCACCAGAGGCAGCTACCATCTGGCTTCTTTAACCAGAGCTGGAAAAGATGAAGACATCCCAAAAACAACAAACCCTCCTCGTGCCATTAGGAGGCAGTGGCCTCATTTGCTGGTCCAGATGACACTAAAGCAGTATCTTAATAACACATATACACATACACAAACACACAGTCGCTGGCCGGCTATGAAAGATGTTGACGGCAGGACTGCTGGGAATGTGACCAGAATTTGCATATGGCTAGTTTTTGACACTAATAAGGCCAATCAGAATGGAGCTCATAGCAACAGAGTTGTAATTGGTTGCAGCAGCGACGGAGTTGATGGTTAGGGGATGCAGATTCACAGCCAATGGGAGCTAAGCAAAAGATGCGAGTGATGTTTTGCTGATCGCTGTGTTGACGGTGTACAGAAGTCAAATGCTGCAGGACTGCATTGTTAGAATTACACACTCTTGCTGCCTATGTACATCGCGCATAAGGCAACACACACACACACACACACACACACACACACACACACACCTTCCACCTAATGCACAGATGCTGCTCTTTATTAAACCAGACAACAGCTCATTGTGGGCGTTGCTATGACAACCAGTCGTCTATTTTTAAGCCTTACCACTAATCAATTTCTCTTCTGCTGTCGCCTGAGGGGTGAGGGAGGAGGGTACTGATGGGGGAGTGAGGGGGCAGTGGTAGGGGGCAATGGGGTGAGGGAGGAGGGGTGTAGCCGGAGACAAAGAGCAGAGGAAGAAACAGCGCCGAGGATCCGGCTCATACCGACACACTCGGCACGGCAAAGGTGAAGACGTTTGAGATCATTCACCTGCTGGCCAATCAGACTCAGGCCTTCATCTGGTGATCATCATGACAATCGCTCGACCACTACGAGTCATTTCATGTAAACAAATGCCCAACATTTACTGGTTCCAGCATCTCTGGACTGGTTTCCTCAAGCTATGACTCTGAGAACTTGCTGCAGCTTTTAATGTTATGTTCCCGTTAACCTTAATTATATGAAATAAATATCCATCCATCCGTCATCTCTACACCTTAATCCTCACTAGGGTCATGGGGGGGCGGAGCCTATCCCAGCTGACTCAGGGTGAAGGCAGGTTCACCTGGACAGGTAACCAGTCTATCACAGGGCTACACTTAGAGACAGACAACCAAGCACACTCACATTCACACCTACGGAAAATTTAGAATCACCAATTAACCTCAGCATGTTTCTGCACTGTGGGAGGAAGCCGGAGAACCCGGAGAGAACCCACGCTGCACGGGGAGAACATGGAGACTCCACGCAGAAAGATCCCGGGTGTCCCGGGACGCCAACCCGCGACCTTCTGGCTGTGAGGCAACGGTGCTAATCACCGAGCCACCTGCAGCCCTCCTTAATTATATGAAACAAATATTTCACTGCATATACAAATGAAAAAAACATAAACAGAAAACACTGAGGGCGCCGCTCTAGCTCACCAGTTTGAGCTGGTGTTCCATGTTCAGGGGCTGAAGTCCCGACGCAGCGACCATGAGTTCGAGTCCCACTCATGACCCTTTGCTGCAGGTCCTTGCCCCCATTCCCCTCCCCCACTTTCCTGTCTCTCTCTTGACTGTACGATCAAAAAAAAGGCCAAAATATTAACTTTAAAAAATAAAAAAAAAACACTGGCTCACATGACCCAGTGACTGAACTCTGACAATGAAGTTGGTAAAATTGGACGTATGCACAGAACTGCACGACTGACACATCGACTGGCTTTCATCTCTTTCTTACTAGCAGTAGCATAGTGTAGAAGTGTGTGACGGAGTAACTCTGAGGCTGTTCAACTCCTGAAGACACTGAAGAAGACGACTTTAGTGGTTTTAGTGCAGGAGGAAGATGAAGATAGCGATCAGTGACTTTTCCTGGTAGGCTGCTGGAGTTTTATTTCCTTAACCAGCCGTGTTACAGGCGCTGTTCAGAAAAAAGCATCTACGGTACGTATCTGTGGATGTTACCGCTACGTATTTAACTAAAGGTTAAAACATCTTTCTGTGTGAATATCTCATGTTCCAACGTGGACACCTGCAGCTTAGAGATCAGTGCAGCCTGTATATGTCCACACCTGGTTTAGGTAGTGGGTGGAGTTTATATTCAGGTGCCTCAATCGTCCAGGATTTACGGTAATCTGTAACTAGATGCTGTTTCCCTCGTGCTCTTCTGTGTTCAATATAAAGGCTAATGCAGCTGGCTGTTGTTGTAGTATGAACAGAGCCATGTCTGGTTAACTCTCCAACGCTGCTGGTTATATCTAATGAGACACTGGCTAAAAGGTCAAATGTTAACGGCTTAACAACACAACAGCGTCAGTGCTGAGTGTCCAGTAGTCTGGATGAGCAAAGAGCTGGTCTGTTCTGACCCGGCGCTGCTCTAGTTTCCCCTACAAGGAACCATTAGTGATTTCCCCCCCAACTGACTTTGAACCAACGTAACCACCTGGTTTGCAAACAGATTAGATCAAACCGACCAGAGTACGTATCGCAATGTGTGCATGGTTGAACATATAAACCCGCCTGACACACAGAACAGTATACAGATGGTCCTTTGTGCTGAAGTGAGAGGTCTTAAACATCACATTTATGCATCGCCACTGAGAAAAAAGCTGCTCCCCAAAAATGTAAATGTGTTTTGTTATCTGACAAATCTTTACAGCAAACATCCAGGACTATTCCTCCCTGCAGATAGCTGAGGTGTGCCTTCCTTCTTGTTGTGGCCTCACTGTTCCTTTAAAAAGGCACATGACACGTAATTTTCTTCAGCTTTTTGTTTTGTTTTTTTTTTTTGTGCCGAGGGAACCGAGTGCAGTCAGAACGCAGCGATCCGGTCTGATCCGGTTTGTAACCTCAGGGTATGGAATTATCTCTTAATATGTAGCTGTTAGTGGTCAAGACGTCACACAGCCGGAGAGCCGGAGAGCGGGCCGGGCTGGGAGGTAAGGGAGGAGGAGCAGCGGCACTGTTTTCAGAACAGAAAGAGGAAAATCTCTTCTGTCGGAGCTGGCACTCTGACAAGAAAGAAACGAAGTGCAGGATTCTAGACCACAGGGTGGGGCATACGCCGTTTTACGGGCCAAACGAGAGAAGGAAAAAGAAAAAAGCAGCAGGAGCAGGAGACGCTTAGTCAAAGGCACAGACGTCTTAAAATGGGGCCGAACGTGGCGCTGAGACGAGCGTCGACACGGGAACACACATAGGACGACGTAGTACGGCCAGGAAACCGTACACAGCATGCAAACACACAACACACGGCATCCTGGGTAATTCAGAGGCTGTTTCTGACACAGATAGCAGAATTTAAAGAATAAAATAGATTCAGGACAATGTGTACGTACAACACTGGATCCAACATGGAGGCGCTCTGGAGTAACTTTCTGCAGTTGTTTTAATGCAGCATACTTTCACGTAGGTAGACTTTTTGTAGAAAAGTAAAGACATTGTGATGCATCCATAACGCTGCTTTTGACTTATGTTTTATGCAGTCATAGCGCTGATCTCAGGTCTCACTATGTCAACCGACTGTAGCCCCTCATGACGTAAAACGTGATAACAGCTGAAGCTACAGCAGGAGATTCAGGCTCTGTTTAGCTAAACCGGTGATACCTCAGTGGGTCTTTGATTTACACGTAAACAAAGCTACGAGTCACCAAAAACCATCACATTTGAAAACTCCAGCCAAAGTGGAGATTTGGAAAAACTCCGTCTTTACGTTTGCATGTAGACGGTAGGAGACGGAGTTTGACGTCACATGTGTGCTAACCATGTTTACAGTTTGGCTACGTCCATATACGGACTGACATGTTTACAGTCGATGTTTTCAGTATTTTCCTTGTTGTATACTGCTAACAGGAAGTTTTCGTTGTTGTGTTTTTTCCAGGATTCTGATTGGCTAGCATGGCTTTATGCTTCTCGTTACACTGCCCCCTGTAGGTCTGGCAGCTCATAGCAGCTCTTAACAACGTGTTGACGAGGGTTTGTGTGAACGAAAATTTCTTTGAAAACAATCTGGTGTGAACGATGTTTGAAAACGTAGATCTGTTTTTGCGAATATCGGCTACGTGTAAAGGTGGCCTAAAGGGAGACGGAGTAATCGTACTTTTTTTCTTTTCATGTGGGTACTTTGACTGTCAAATAGCACGAGAAGCTAATCCTCATAGAGCACATCCACATCAAACATAACAAGACACTCATACTGAAAACTCCAGTAGTTAGATCCCGTCCTGTACTCTTAACTAGATAGTTTGATTACTATTTTTAATTTCACTTTATTCGCAATAAAACTTTTACTCGTATGGTTTTTGACAGTTCTTCTCACAAACTGCAGAATGAGGGCAGCAGAACACTAGACTGAAACACTGGAGACGGATTATTAAGAAAGAAAAGTCTGTTTATCCACCTGCAGCAGGCCAGCTGTAGCACAACGTACGATCTGAAATGTCCAAACGAACAAGTCTAGAATCATTAGACTAATTAATGATTACTCTGTTTCTAGTTACCATTATTAGCTCATTCATTCTGATAATTAACTAACAACATAGATGGCTGATTAATGGTTTACTTTTCAAAGCAGACCTTGAGGTGAGACAAGTGGGCAGCTCCCGTCGCTGAGGAAGATCATGTGATAGGATAAAAAGCTCCAGGACGCAAACTATAAACGGATTTCTGCTGAGACAGTACTCTCATACCCCTTTCCCACCAAACTGGTTCCAGTGCTGGTTCGGAGCCGGAGCCTGACGTAGCACCAGTTCTTTGTGTTTCCAGGTTCTCAGAACTGGTGCTTAGCAAGAACCAACTGTGTGCTGGGCCAGAACTAAGCACCTCCGGGGTGGAAGTGTCCCCTGACCACACCGGATATTCTGATATTCATCATGAAGCCCATCAGCCCTACTAGTTATTATAACAACTATGAACAATGAATATTAACAACTAATGAGCCCTCCAGCATCAAGCCCTCCTCGTATCTCGACCTCCGACAGCCTTGCATAAAAGAAGGTTTTAGTGTCGGTTTATCGAGTCATGACTGTACTCAAGTCACCAGAAAAGAGGCCACTGTTGCTTCGGCTACGATAACTTGATCTCTGTCTGTGTTTCTGCCGTTTGTCAGCGGTTAGTCGTGTTGCTCACAGCTCATGTGGAGGATGCAGGACGACGCTGTGGTAGACTAACAGGGACTCTTGTGACAGTGAGCACAACAGAACTTATCTAACAGAGCAACTTTACTGGCCGTTGTAGGAACGCTTCACCGTAACCGCAGCAACATGCTGATGCTTCTCTCACACACTTCACACGACAAACTCACCAGCGTCTGTCACCACAGTCCTCAAAGGGGATGTTCACGTCTGCTGTGTTCACCTCACGGGTTAAAAAACACTTTATGTACAGTATGTAGTTCAGTTTGTTTACCCTGATCTACTGAGACAGGCAGATATACAGAGATTACTACCACGCTGATAAAGTTTAAGTATATCAGGAAAGATGTTCCGCGGTATTATAAGTAATTGAAGTACCATAATACAGTATTATCATCACCTATTCATGAAAGTAACAGCAGGACTACATGCAGACACTGATCAGCAGAGATCCTCTGTGTTTGGTCAGGATCATATATAAACGGTAATCTGCACCGCTGCATAAATGACCCATATTCGGTCTCGGGTCAGAGATCCGGCTGTGCCCTCTGGTGCGTTTGGAGGACTGCGCTCAGAGGAGTTGACTAGGGTGACCTTGTGCAGCACCTGGCTAAATGCAGCGCAGCAATGCAGCAGCAGCGACGTGCACGCTGCTCATTCACCAGCTGATTAGTCACAGCTGCACTGCTGACGACTGCCGGGCCGGTTCTGAACCGAGTCGGAGACGAACGGAAGCAGAAGTGCTTCCTCGCTGCCCTTTAATTGTGCGACACTCAAGAAGCTCTGCTCACTGCTTCACCGGGTTATACATCATTAAGATCACACTAATCAATTTGTGCATGGTGAAGGTGTTCCCCACACTCACACCAACGAGAATTCTTCTAACTAAGTGTTAATTATACATATTTCTGTCAAACATATAGACTCTTGTATACTCAATGTAAGACAATCAAAGATCAAAATATAACTCATAATTTATTATGAATTTGGAATGTTGCTGTTCAACAGAAACCTCATATGTCTAAAAACAACCTGTGGCTTTATAAGAACCAAACACTGCCTCGTCCAGGTTGGTGGTGTCTTTATATGAAGGTCAGATACTCACATGGTTTTGTCATTTTACAGAAAATCAAGCTCAAAATGGAGCAACAGAGGTTTTGACCAGTAAATGTCCAGATAAGTTTGGTCTTGCCACGTCCGAGGCAGCACATGCATCTCCTCTGTCATCACATTATGACCATCTTACAGGTTAACGACTAAGTTCTATGTCCAAAGTATCGAATGCAGTATTGATTAGAACTAGACAGGAAATGCTAGACTAAACTCCAACCGATCAAGGTTTTCCTGCATTACTGTCCATTCCCACACATCAGGCCTCCATCATCTTTTTTCAGGTGAACAATAGGTACCAACATCAGTCTCATCCTTCCTTGTCTGTGGTTTTTCCGATAGCTGCCCACCCCAGTGAGTCTCCGGCCCCACGACTGGACTCCAACCTCTCCATGTGGGACTGCAGCCGGTGCTGGTAGTCAGTTATCTCATCCGGGTCGGACTGAGCTCAGCGCTGTAGCACTCGGGTCGGTCCTCCCCCGGCTTCGTCTTCTGGTTGGAGCGGCCCTGTGACCGGCAGCGGGGCTCCCAGAGAGCAGAGCATCGACTACCATCACTGGCTGCAGCCTGAGACCGTTGAAGTGAAGGCTGAGCAGGATGAGAGGCTCCCTGGAGAGGCAGCCCGATGACACGGAGGTGGAGAACAAGTGTCCAGGTGGAAAACCAGCGACCAAGCTTTGAAACTAAAGTAGGTAAATACAGCACCTTTAATCAGGTGTTCTGTACAATTTTTCCAAAAAGCACAACATATGCTGAATTAAGATTGTTGACAGTATGTCAGACAGAACCTCCACCTGCTGCCTGATAGCCAGCCTCTACGCTGCTCTCTGATAGTCAGAGACAGACAGCTGGCCATGGAGGTTCGGAAATTCAGATGTTGTCAGCTGGGATGTTGTAGTTGTTGCACCAGTGTGCTTAAATCATTTCTTTACTTTTCTATGGTCTAATTACTACTTGCAGGTAAAGTGAAATGGGCACCTGTCATTATACTACACTGTGGATATATGAGAAGCATAAATGATGTATAAATAATATTCATATCAGCAGGCCGGAGCAGAGACAATGACGTCTGTTCAACTACAGCGACAGTACGGCTGGAAACAGATATGATCATCCAACATCTACGGCTCCTTCAAGTCGACAGCCTCAGTTGAGTCGACAGCGAGCAGCTCGTTCTCAGCGAGCTAGCAGCACAGCATCGTAGCCACGATTTACATAAACACACATGTACGAGGATTACACGTGCACAACCTGCATCTACCTATTATTAGTGACCACATACAGGACCTAGAACAACCTCAGGTTACATCTAGAAGCTGATCGCTGAATAAGAGCCATTTGTAAAATTCACAATACGAAGAGTAAATTATTTGTCTCAATAATCAATAGATTGTTAAACTAAAGCAGGAGTTAGCTGCGGTCCCGATCAAATCACACATGTGGACATCATTTGAAGGACCTATATATTATTCATGTATTTTATACTTCTGTCTAAAACGACTGCATTTTTGTGTCTTTTCTTGCAGTAAATTCGTCCCAATCTTGGGTTTGCACCGAACACATCTTCTAGCATCACGTCCAAAAGGTCCAACTTCAGCCTCATCAAACCAACAACACATTATTCCACCTGGTTTTGGGAGACTGGGTGTTTTTTTATTTTTTTAGTTTTTGTAACCTTAAGCCGGCCTTGGATATTTCTTTTGGTTTAGAAAGTTTTATGTGACAAAGCAGCTCCACTGTACTTCTGTGGACAGTATGCGTTGTTCTGCTCAGAATGTGTCGGCCCGTCTCCATCTGAAATGCCTTTTGATTAAACAAATTGTCAGCAAGCAGTTTACAACTGATGCTCTATTGATTTGGTACAGTACAGCTTTAATGCACATCAGAAACCGCTGCTTGCTAAATGGAAAAGAAACTGTTCTGTTTTTTTTATTTGCACCAATAAAGTTGTGCAGTTTTGAGGCATTTTGTCTGCCGTCAGTTATATCGTCCTGCCCTAGCAGATACCCACCAAAGAAGTCATCACTGTAGCTCGGTCTAAGCACATTAAGGGCTTTGTTTAAAGGAGGAGGACCATAAAATCAATGTTAAGTGTCACAGGAAGTCAGTGCAGAGCAGCTAAAACTGGACTCTGAGTTCTGGTTAACAGCTGACGGAGGTGAAGTCTCACTGTTAGCAGGAGGACAGTAAAAAGTGCACCAATTATTAGCCCTGAAACAATCTTCATACTAATGATTGGAGGGGTGGATATCAGACTTTTTAAGAGTATCTGGAACGGTGGCAGTTTAACAGATCCGTCTTATGACTTCATGACTTGAAGGTCCGCTGTAGGTCCAGGAGCAGCACACGAGCAGTGGAGGAGCTCAGTAAATGTAATAAAGGAGAATTTCCCCACGGCTCCACCTTCTTCACAGGGGTTAGGCAGGTCATCGGTGTTTACATCAGCAGCAGCAGCACGAGCTCTTATTGTTGTGTTTCTGAGGAACACTTCATCCACATTTTGTTGTAGGAGGACGTTGAGCAGCTGGTAAACAGTAGAGAATAATATTCTAGGATGTACGGCGTGCTTTAGTTATACTTCAGTCACTGCTGCTGATCACTAAAGGTGCAATATTTCATACATACATTACTCTGACTCTGTTATTTTTATACTGTCTATATTCAGCTCTTTTCCCGTGCACTAGTTTTTCTTATTTATATATATATATAAGAAAAACTATATATATATATGTAGATATATTCCTAGTTATACGTTTACAGTATTTACTGACCAGTCACTGCCTCACAAGCTCCACTTCTGTGTCCTCCGGTAGCCGAGCGACGACATCACGTTGGCAGATTCACGGTTGTGTTTTTGTGCATTGACAATAAAGAAAGTCTGATCCGTACTCATGCTGCTTTGTGAACCACGGTTATGGCTTCTTGGACCTGTGAGCCACATATTACTGTTCCTTTCAGCTCCCCAGCATCTATCCCAACCAGGCAGAGGTTCTGTCAGCTGACGTCTTCTTAATTTTCAGTGGAACATCAGATGAAGAGGTGTTGGCATTTTTATAAATGGACTTCCCATTTGTGATCATTTTGGCCCGAATGCTTCAGTATGTAAAACTTAAAACAGCGTTGCTACAGCTCACCTGGTCGAGCTGGTGTCCCATGTACAAGGGCTACAGTCCTCGACGTGGAGGTCATGGGTTTGAATCCCACTCATGACCCTTTTCTGCAGGTCCTTCCCCCGTTCTCCTCCCCACTCTCCAGTCTCTCTCTCTACTGTTCTATCAAATAAAGGCAAAAAGGCCAAAACACAAAACTTAAAACGGCACCATTGCTCCCACTACTATGTTCACTTAGAAACTCTTAACAAGCTGCCTAATGCCTGCTGTACACCTGTATGCAGTCAGACTGAGTACCCATCAGGATCCTGTAGAGACCACACGGGCCTTCTACCAGGCCCTCTACCGGGCCTATCAGCCGTACAGCGATAACCATGAGCACATGTCTACCGTCAGTCATTCATCCCAGTCTGTCAGCCTGTATGAGCCACACAGACGTTGCTCTACCTGAACCTGGAGCTCTTTCTAGGGTTTGTGTTGTGACTGAAACGGCCTCAGACTTGATCCATCTGGAAAAAACTGCCCATGGAAGTTAAATCAGCTTCAGAGAGGACTACTAGAGTATTTGGGTTTCAAATTTTACTGTTACGTTACAGACTGAAGCTGCATAATTAGACAAACATTCACCGTTTCGGCCTCCAACAAATAAATGAACACGATCGACTGCAATAGATTAAAATGCAATGTGAGTAGAGAACAGCCTGAGGAGATGAAAACACTCCAGCTTTGGCATATTTCACTCTTCAGACTCATCTGAGCATCTGTAACTGAGGACAGACTAGAGGCTTCTCCGTGCACACCCATCCTGTACAACAGCCTGCACTGTGAGGCGTTCAGGAAACACTGGGAAAATATAGCACCCATCGAAAACCAGATGTTCAGTAAACGAGGCCCACTGGGTGCAGGTGTATTTATGTTTAGCCTCCAGGGAATGCAGTGAATCCAGGTAAAGAAGGACCTGATTTAAAGTCTCATCCTGAGGCAGAGACGTAGTAATTAGCGAGAATGTAGAACAATGAGGGGAAAGCTTGAGCTGAGTCGAATTAGAAATATGTTGTGTCTAAAGTCAAGGAATAATCATGAGCATAATACTGATCAGAATCATGGTGGTATCATCTGGCCATAACAGCACTTTTACAGATTGTGTTTGACGTAGCCGTCGCTGCCTCATCATGCCGCAACTCTGGTGGTGGTTCGTAGATGGAGATGTTGAGATGATACAGGACAGAACTGAACATTTTACTGCTCAGATGTGAAAATGTGACAGCTTTGTACTAAAACAGTTATTCTAAAAAAACGTGATAACGGAGGGACGTATGCTGCTCCTGTCAGTCAAATCCAAACCAATCACACCTTCACAGTGTTTAACTCTCACAGACGAGTACAATTTACAGTTTCATTTAGCAGACGTACATCTGAGAGTAGATCACATTCACACACCAATGGTGACAGAGCTGTCATTGGCAACAACTTCAGGTTCAGTGTCTTGCCCAAGGACACTCCGACTGTGGAGGGATCGAACCACCAACCTTGTGATTGGAGGACAGCCGCTCTACCTGAGCCCCGGCCGCCCTTACACAGTGCCGTTAACTTTGCCTGTGATGCTGATTATTTAGTTGTCATGTTTTTGTTTGACATCCAGTCCGAGATTCTGGACCTTCCTGGTGCAAACGAACCTGCATCAGCTGACTTCAAAGCACGCAGTTTAAGTCCTGTAAACAAATCTCATGTGGATTCTGTCTCCCTTTCACCAACAATGAATGTGTCCTGTTATCATAACTTCCGGGTGTATTTAAGGCTGATATATGATCGTCCACCATCCCACTACACTGGGCGACACGTTCCTTCATTCAGTCCTACATACACCATCCTGCTGCCCCAAATGGGTGCTCTCCTTGTTTGAACACTATGTGAGAGCACTGAGGTAAATGTTCTACAGGTATAGACTAAAGCCAGGCTTCAGCTTTACCAGAGCTATACAGGAATACCGCCACGATCCAATCCGATGGGAAAAACCAAATTTAAATCAAGAAAGTAATGAAAAAAGAAGCAAACGAGACCATGAATCTGACTTAAAGAAGCGAACATGACTTAGCTTAAAGCCAAAACTTTGATTTCTTTCAAGTTTGACACTCAGAGCCATTGGTTTAAAGACACAGACAAGCCAATTTAGTCACTAAAACATAGAGCTGTGTTGGTAGAAATGAGCGTGCTGACATATGGGCTGACATTACAGACGTCTCATGCAACAGTAGACGTCAGCCACCAAGTCACAGTGACTCGTAGTGCACGTTGTTGTACAGTTGGTTTTGTTTTGTCAGTTGCAAACATGTGTAAGATGTTCCCCAGAGCACATGTCTTATATTGATCTACAGTCGGATCCATGAAGATTCCTTATGAAACATTCTCAGGACTTCTCAGCAGCAGCAGTCGGTGATAAAAACAGCTCTGAGGCTCCAGAACCGGAACCAGAACCACTCTCACTACTCTGTCTCATTCATTAGTGCTGTCATCTCGTGTTATTGGTGTGGATTTAACTCCATTTCATATCCGTAGGTGTGAATGTGAGTGTGCTTGGTTGTCTGTCTCTAAGCGTAGCCCTGTGATAGACTGGTTACCTGTCCAGGTGAACCTGCCTTCATCCTGAGTCAGCTGGGATAGACTCCAGCCCCCCGCGACCCTCGTGAGGATTAAGGTGTAGAGATGATGGATGGATCTGTATAATTTCTATTTATATAATTTTGTTTTCCTCATTGCGGTCTCAAAAGGTTTTAATCCAGTTCATAACGTCGTCTGTGCTGTTTTTATTGGTCCTTTGTCTGTTTTACTGAAAACCAGGGACAGGAATTTTAAATTAGCTTAATGCTGTACACTCTGTAGGCAACACATCAGATGTTCTGGATGTGAAAATGCACGGTCCCTGATCAGATGAATAAATAAATACAAAAATAAAAAGATCCAACTATCATGTAAATAAAGTACTTTGGTATTTTCTTTCCCTGAAAGGTGCAGCAAATACTATTTCATCCTTGTTATGCTGTACACATGATAGAGAGCACATCAGCTCTTGCAATGGCCTGACACGTACGCCAATATGAACCATCATAATTAACACTCTAATGAGTCAGGAGCAGCTCAGTGACGGACTCCTAACGTCAAACCCTGATTGCATCGACTGCATATTCTGCAGAAACTCCACTCCAGCACTCTGCAGGTGCCGTAGAAACCTGTCATAACGGCATGGCAGCCTTCATCTGTATGCTGCTGGGGCTGCTAGGAGACACTGGGCTGGAAACAGGAAGAGGAACAACTCCATCATTGAGACTACTACAGTTCATTCACACTCTTCAACAGCAGGGACCTTTCATTCATAGCGAGCCGCCATCGCTGTGTGAGTGGAGGGCTGAGAGTACCGAGGTCTGCCAGCGCTTATCTCCCAGCCAGAGGCTTCCTCTATCTCCGAATGAAAGTTTGTCAAGTGAGCACAATGTCCTGGAGAAGAGACAACCTCAGGCAGCTGGTTGGAGGCGATGCTCTGCTGAGGAGAGCAAACAGGCTGCAGGTTGGAAGGCAAGAAGTGACCACAGTGACCAACCAGTGGCAGCTGCCAGTGATGGAGATGTTCACAAACACTGCTGGAAATGAAGTGAAAACTGCAATATGTCTTCATGCAAAGGTCTCATCAGCTTCAGTGACGGAGAAAGACCACATGAACAACAGTCTGGGCTGTAGGTGCTCCTCGCTCCAGCCTCTCCTTCCACCGCCGTGATGGAAGTCAGATGTGAATCCATCTGCATGTGACTCATGTGAATCCTGAAGAGCAGCAGAGGAGACAACACTCACCCACCGAACGCTGCAGAATAATAGCGGCACACATTAAATATTGATCCCGGTTGGGTCTCTAACGTCATCCAGACATGAAGCTCCGCTAATCCGCCGCTCAGGAGCCGCTCGGCCGCCGCTCGGCCTCGGCGCAGCCCGGCCCTCCGACTGCTGTCAGGCGCCAGGCAGCCATTTAGGTGCATATGGAGCTCGTTGAGTCTCTACGTAAATGGCTGATGCATTTCGAATTTTTTCCTCCTAATTGCTGAGGGCCATCAGCAGCGCCGGCCTCTGCCCAGCGCCGCTCAATCCGCCTCCCCGCCGGCTTGTGCCGCGATAAAAGCCCCGCATCCCGTCCGAGCGCTCTTTAAAGGAGCATTAAGGGCTGTTCGGAGGACCGAGGCTCGTTCTGCTGTCTGCGTTAACCCCCAGAGACTCCGGATCAAACAATGAAACGGATTGGAGGCATTCCGAGCACCAACGTTCCCATCACAATGTAATCACAACGTCCCCACTAACGCATCGGTTGTGATCCAAACACCGACTACCGGGAACCGTTAACGCAGAATGTTTCCGACTTCACACCTTTAAATCAGAACCGAGTCCGAGGCGGCGGGTTGTGTCGCCAACATGTCAGACTGCATCAATAAACAGCAAAGCAAAGGCGCTCTATTGTCTGACAGCATATCAGCGGATCCGACGGCAGCGAACCGACACGGCGGCCACCGAGCCGTCCTGCCGCCGGATCCATCCCGCTGCCCCGGTTTCGGAACCGTTCCCCGACCCGGAGCCAGGCCTCCGCGCATCCTCGGACTCACCTGTGTCTCCTTTCGGCTCAGTGTGTACCGTCTCCGGGTTCACGGTCCGGTCCTGATGCGCTGCAGCGGCTCCTCACCACCAGTCCCCGGCACCGGTAGGCAGCACTGAGCCGCTGATTGGGCCTCGGCAGACGCTCACCCCCTCGGTGCGGCCAGACAGGCGGCTGATTGGTCAGACGGCCGCTCCGTGGAGCCCAGACAGAGCGCTGAGTGGCTGCTTATTGTCAGAGCAGAGCGAGACAGGCGTCTGATTGGCTGCTCATTTCCGCGGCGAAGCCAGGGAGCGCGTTGATTGGCTGGTGCCAGTGTTGTTGTCTGGGTCTGGATGGAGAGCCATGTTCCCTCTAATGAGGCGACAGAAACAATGCGCTCGTTTGCATCCGCGCAAGGCACCGAATCGCTCGAGTTTCTGACCGATCGGTACCGTCCGGTCCGGGCCGGCTCCCTCCACTGATCAACACAAACCCGGATGCTGCGGTTTTAGCAGGAAAGCCGGAGTCCTGGCGGTACAGGAGGCTCGTGTGCGCGCTGATGCATGACAAAGAGCCGGACGACGCTGCGCAGGGTGATGATCAGGAAACGTCATTACTTTACTCCTGAGCGGCCCTCTGTTGGCAGCTGTCTGGTGACAAAGAAAAGAAGTCCTCACCTTCAAAAGCTCCGAGATCTCACACACAGCAGGACAGCAGGGCTCTGATGTTACACACCACTGCAAGTTTTACTGTAGCTGCTGATTATCTGACTCTAACAGGACAGACAGAGTGAACAACAGCAGGTCAGAGGGAGGCCGCTCGGGCCCATCTGACCAGGTACCAGGTGTGTAAATAAGGAAAACTGCTGCCTGTCAGGGACACACCACAACTAATAAAACACTTGCTGACCCACATCGTACATCACAATATTAGAATACTTGTCATTCACTTCACACTGTATTTATTTAATTCAGCCTGGAACCCTTTTGTAGGTCCACTACAGCTGGTCTTCTGCTGTCCAGGGCAGGAACTAGTGATGCTGAGCTGTCCCAGGCCTTCACATTTTAATGGTTTCAGGCTGAATGGAGTTGTTGCTCTCACAACTTGTTCCTATGGGCTGCCGTGGAGACTGCGCCCTCTAGTGGCTGCACAGAGTGGCGCATGAGCTGCTGCTATTCATGTATTAAGTCATATTGTCAGCTTTACATTGTCTTTATCAGCATCGAGGGATTCTGTGTTTCTTTGAATCCCCAAAATATAAATTAAATATTAATAGGTGACCCAGTTTCTGACTAGACAATTTCCACTGTTTTTATTTACCAAAATTTAAAAAACAAACAAACATGGTGTTTAAATGACCTGTGCAACCCTCAGTTAATATATGAAAAATACATTTAATGTATTGAAAACAAACAGTAAAGTAACACCTAAATAATAATGTTAAATGAAGCGTACTGGTGTCTAGTGTTGGGTTAGTCTGACCACAGGATGTAGATTTCAGGTATCTTCTCCTCTACCTCCACCATCAGCAGCATGTTGTCGTCATCAGCTACCAGAACAACAGCAGCAACCTCTGAGCAGCTGGATTAGGATCGCTCAGTAAGGACGGCCAGCTGGTTCTTTTGGTGAATTAGTCATTTTAATGAGAGTAATACTTTGGCTGGGCTGCAGGGTGGCGCAGTTGGTAGCACTGTTGCCTCGCAGCAAGAAGGTTGTCGGTTCGCGTCCCGGCGTGGAGTTTGCATGTTCTCCCCGTGCAGCGTGGGTTCTCTCCGGGTTCTCCGGCTTCCTCCCACACAGTCCAAAAACATGCTGAGGTTAATTGGTGATTCTAAATTCTCCGTAGGTGTGACTGTGAGTGTGCTTGGTTGTCTGTCTCTAAGTGTGGCCCTGTGATAGACTGGCGACCTGTCCAGGGTGTCCCCTGCCTTCGCCCTAAGTCGGCTGGGATAGGCTCCAGCCCCCCCGCGACCCTAATGAGGATAAAGCGGTGTATAGAAAATGGATGGATGGATGGATAATACTTTGGCTAAAGCTACATAGCAGAGGCTCCATCACTGCATCCTGGGCTCAGCACCACCCAGCATGGTGATGATTGGTTTAAAGACACACAGACAAGCCAGAGCCTTGTGCCCCCTACAGCAGGATGATAATGATCATTGTGTGGTGCTGACACAGGAAGATACCGTATGTGTCATTCATTCATGTGAAACTAGACAATACAATACATGATGTATAATACACAGTGATGCAATAACAGACTAAAACTAAACTAACTGATCAAAGTGTCCAAATAACTAACAGCCCAACACTGAGGTATTCAACCCCAGATCACTGCACACAACTCAAAGCACTGCTGCTTGTGTCCATTAATATAACGGTTCTGGTTCAGACTTGTGCCATGTTTCAGTGATGCAGAAATGTTTCTGGGTCTGACCAACTGAAACGTGAGCAGGGTGAGCATTCAGACGTGAAGCCAGAGTTAACTAGCTGTCATGTTAACAGAGTGGAGTATACGTCTGAAAGGAGTCAGTAAGCTACATGCTTAGGAGAGCTCACGTTTTAGCTACATCTAGTAACCAGCAGCAGTAATTTCACACTTACACCTTATGGAAATAATGTCTATTCTTCCTGAGAAGTCCATCCATCCATTATCTCTACACCTTAATTCTCACTAGGGTGGTAGGGGGCTGGAGTCTATCCCAGCTTACTCAGGGTGAAGGCAGGTCCATAAATGAATGCGTGAGGTGAACATGTGGCAGCAGGTGGGGTAAATCTACACCTTTGCTCTATAATCAGTACTCTGTGCTGGAAGAGCTGGTGATATGGCAGGAAAATGGCAGTATTACGCCCCCAACTGGCCACGGCCTGGTATCGTATCACTGAATCAGCAGGAATCTGATCCTGAGGAGCTCATTCAGCTTCCCCATATTCATAGCTGCGTTGAGTGTCCAGGTCAAAAGAAAGAGAAGCTTTGTCATAAGAGGGTCTCCTGGAATAAATGTTGGTCAAACAGCATATATGTGTTGTGAGATGTGTAACAAGTGTGAAATTTCAGCTTGATAGATCAAATACTTCGAGATTAGATTTTTTTAATTTTGTTTTTCAATTACCCTTCAACCCATTTTCAGCATGTTTTTTTGTGCATTGAAACGTGAGGCTATTTGTGTAATGAAGCCGATTTTAATTACCTATATGGAAGTTCACATTCTGGGGTAAACATAATAAGACACCAGACGATGACCGTTGGATGAGTTTAATGAGCATAGCTTTGAGGCTAACATGTGCTGTTTGATGGTTTCTCCTCACAGCGCCGGGTGTTAACCCTGGAAAGGCCTACAGGACACAGAAATAACAGTTTTAGTAACACGATTAAGTGATTGGACTCAATTAATAACTGAATGACCGTAGAAGTGGGTACGTGGCATTATTTTAAGAATGTGTGCTGACTCACCTTTATTTTGTCTCCTCAGGTGTTCCAGCCAAAAGAGGCCACCATGCCCTGGAACACCTTTTTAAAGGTTCCGGGAGAAACCAAGTGGAGACGAGGGGAGGGGGGGGATAGTAAAGTCTTCAGGTGATGAAGTAGATAGATTATTTGATGAGGACGTCAGTAGTTCTTTTTAGGAACTAAATACTTAGTTTTAATGTTTGTTATTATAGTTAAAAGTACAGAGGTGTTGTATTTTTGTGAATTTCTTGTGTTTGATTATTTTAGGTTAACCCTTGTGTTGGCAGGCCTGAGAGGCTGATTAGGGGCTGCCTATAAAAACCTGGCAGTTGGGGGAGTAAGAGAAGAGAGGGAAGGAACATCACAATATGGGCCACCAGTTAACCGCATTGCGTTGGTTTTTTGGGTTTACTGTTTGTTAGTGATGGGTCCGGCAGCACCGATGCGTCTGCGCATGTGTCGAGCTCGTGGAGTTAATCGCATATCGGTTGAAGACAGTCATGTGACCGATACAGCTGCTGTTTCCCAAACTGTGTTTATCAGGAAGCGCATCTGTCAACGGGATGCATCTCTGCCAGAAGATCTTTTGAAGCACAATTCCAGCTACTATGGAGCTCGAAAGAAAAGGAAGGTTCCCGCCGTGTGGGACCATCTTGATCTTATATCAGCTAATCAGGTATTTGTTTTTATTTCCTTGTTGTTTCATCCTGTTCCTGAAGCACCTGCATCAAAAACACGCCTTAATGCCAACACATTGGAACAACTGATTTTTTTGGAATAAAAATTTATATTAAAATAGAATATCCCCCTCCTTGCCTCAGACAAGCACATGAGCATCCTCACATCCACACTTTCACTTTGAGTTTCACATGTTGTGACACACGTTCACATTTTAAGCTAAATTAAGATATAAAATAATACAATATAAAATAACTTCAATTATATTATTGTACATACCAGGTCATTAAATGTCAGTTGAGCCGGTCCACTAGGTTGCCTGTAAGGACTTTTAAGATCCAGCAGGTGTCAGTATTGAGCAACACACTGACACAGTATCAACACAGTTTGGGTATCAATGCTTCATGAGGCCTCATCTCCCATCACTAGTGAATAAACACCCAGTTGGTCTGCACCTTATCTCACCCCAGGTCTCCTGCTTTATCCAACCGCAAAACGGTCATCCGAACAGTTTGGATGAAAATATCTCAGGAACTACTGAAGATAAAAACCTGAAATGAAACTGAAGAATCAAGACACACAGGACAGCCAGCAGGTGGAGAGAAGTGACAGAGAGAACTGGCAGGGACAGGCTGGAGGACGGGCTGGAAGCTGACGACTGAGCAGTCTCTGATCCAGGGGTAGCATCAGGGAACTCTTCTGGACGAGAGGAAGTGTCAGCTAGCCATGGCAGGGCAATGGACTGAAGGTTGGTTGACCCAGGTGCACAGTCCAGACTCAAACAGAGGAACAAGGTAACTCTGGAGATGGCCAGAGATCTACAGGCTGGGAACAATGCCATCCATGAGGACCACACCTTCCACCTTCCAGCAGGGCCCTCCTGGCTGGACGTGTCCCTCTGAATACTGGCTCATATTCAGGCATAAGCCGGGGCTTGTAGGTGACAGTCATTTCTAACATTGAACGTGTCTGCTGGCACCATTCTGGTCAGTTTGTACTGTCATGAATTAATTAATCGGTAAAGCAGTTATTTATTTATTTAAGAAACACAAGCTGAGCTTTAATCAAGAAGCTGGTACAAAACAAACCACAGTCCAGACAAATCAAAACCACAGAAATAACCAAACATCCATAAGGGTAACGATGGCATGGAATTAACTGAAGCAAGAAATAAAGAAACACTAAAAGGTAAACAATAATAATAATAAATGCATAAACGAGAGGCAGATGAACAGGAGGTGTAGGATGAGTCAGACAGGTAGTCCTGCAGGGCGGTTGGAGGATGACCAGCAGGAAAAACAACAGGAAACAGATATAACCAAACCCTGACCTCCACAATTAGCATGACATCAGCTGTTAGCTTACTTTGTGTTCTATTGGGAATAAACATGGCCTTCAAGATTGGATTTGATTGGACTTGTCTATGTGCAGAAAGTTAAAGTCTGAGTTCATGTATAGTCGTAGAAACTGTATCAGAGTTTACAATAAGAATCTCTTACAATAAGTAGACAGTAAATTCTGCATCGTAATAAAAGTGTCCAAGTACATTAACTCTTGGTTGGGAGTGGTAATGGAAAGATATATGAGATTTTAGAGAACCGCTGGCAGGCAGGGGGTCAGACAGGTGGTGGCCAGAGTAAGCAGGCGATGAGGACGTTTAGATCTCTGGATAGGAAAAGTCCAGGTGATCCAGGTGCCTCAGTACCAGTCTCTCAAAACGTTTAATTAAAACTGAAGTGAGTGCAGACGTGTGGAAGGGCACAGCTCTGTAGGCTGCACTGCTTGGTTTGAACCCACAGAGCATGTACATATAAACATCATGGTACATGTTGAACGAAGATATATAAATGTTTTTATCAGACATTCTATATATTTGGAACAATGAAATGTTTGACGCAGCTGTTATCGCTCTAGGAGCTGCAGCCAGAAGGTCACTGGTGCCTGTCATGGCGACGACCCAACAACCTGCTGGTGAGGGAAGCCTCAGGCTGAAGAAGGAGACTTTTCAGGCCTGGTTGGCTCAGGGGTCTCCTGAAGCACAAACTGGTACCGGTTGGCCAAAAGGGCCGCAGCTTACATTTAGATTCCTAAAAGCAACCGCTTTAATACCAACTTTACACACTCCTGTTTGTACGCAGCTTCATGAGTTTGTCACCTGAAGTCTTTTGCCTTCATACACTGAGCACCCAGCTGGCGGCTTCACTCCACCTCGACCCAAACCATCTCAGTCTGGTTCAGGACAGCTGATCGTGGAGGCTAATAAACAACAGTCCCATCAGGCATGAACGTAAGTCCAACTAAACTGTTGCTGTGTAGCAGCACTACTTCAGTAATGAATTGTCTCATTAAGAAGGCAAGAAGTTCTACCAGGTAACGTTTGACTGGACCCACCTGGCAATGACACCATGAAGTACCTTACCAACAGCAGCTGTCATCAAATAGTGGCTATGTTGAAGAATTTTAAATATGAATATAGGAAAGATGCTTGTTAGTGAGGTATAAAGTCTGCTGCAGTAAAGAAGTAAAGGAAAAGCCTCAGACTAGCAGGTGTGTTCTCCAGGATGTTCAGTTTATGGGGGTTCTGCCTTGGAGATGAAAGTCCATTACTGCAATGAGGAATAGACCTTCATCAACATCGACTCCTCTCTCCCCCAAAGAAGTAGCACAAATGTAACACAGATTCTTTTCTAGTTGGTTTGTTGTAAATAGGTTTAAGTTGAAACGTAACTGTACCGTGTTTCACACCATGTAAGGAAGGCTGAGTCCATCTTTCCTGAACCAGAGAACCTTTCAGGGATGTAAACACATCTTCTGAAGTCAAACCACAACCCTTTGACCTGTAGGTTGTTCTTCATCAGTTGTGCTGAGCTGAAGTTACTCTGCTAACAGAAATGTGTTCCCCAACAACAGACACATGAACATAAGATGAACCAATAGATAATAAATAGAACCAAGGAGCTCGTTTTACTTTCACTGTGTCTAACGTTCTGACTGCAACCGTCCCTCTGCTTCCCTTTCTGCTGCTTCACTGGGAATTTCTGCAGCTAAAAAACATTTTTTATAAAAGCATGTTGTGACATTTCATAAACATTTTAGTCAGAAACGCAGAACCTCAGTCAGTTCTGAGGATAAATGACATCAGGTGGCTCAGCCCAGGATTAAATTACTACACTACAGATTAATTCTCCTGCATCAGGCTGAGGTTTATTTTAATGGAAACTCTACATCTGGAGTCAGCTGGAAGGACACACCGCAGCTATGAGGCGTCTTGGTTTCTTTTATGTGACTGGTTTCGCTGAGCAGAGCTGTTGTTTCACAACTACAGAACAAAGAGCGACCCGGTCCACTAAACCGCTTTATAATGAGGAATCCTGTCCTCACAGAGCTGATTTCAGATCCAGATCCTTATCCCTGCACAGAGAAGCTTGCCATCGTGTGTGAGCCATCGAGACCGCGGTGCTGCTGCTGCCGCAACAGGACGCGCGTCAGCCGCGTAATGAACCAACCGGCAGTGATGCTGTCTGCTGGCGGCCAGGTGCAGCCGCACAATGGAGGCGATGTCCAGGTCCCACCAATCTGCTCCAATTATCAGTTAGCATCAGATGTGCAGCGAGCCGGCCGAGGACAGACGGCCTGTGGACACCGAGGCTTCAGCACGCTGGACAGCTCCGCTCCGGACCCGGACCCCGCAGGGTTCTGACCACCAGCGGACCGACACAGTTCTGTTCCAGGCAAGATGCTGCTGCTGCTTGTGTGTTTGTAGCTCAGAGTAAGCTCACTGTAATGTGCTAATAGATGGGTTCAGTGTGTTTAAGTCAGCATCAGCTGGTCGGCATGCGGATCCTCATGTGGGGGCAGAGGGCTGGAGGGAGGGTCTGGTGAAAGGAGGAAGAGGAGACCCGAGCCAGTCCTTTTTTTTTTCTTTTTTTTTTTAATGCATAAATGAAAACGTCTGTCTGTCTCTAAGTGTAGCCCTGTGATAGACTGGTTACCTGTCCAGGTGAACCTGCCTTCACCCTGAGTCAGCTGGGATAGACTCCAGCGACCCCAGTGAGGATTTATAGATAGATGTATAGATAATGGATGGATGGATGTAAAAACGTCTGTATCGCGTTTGAGAGGGCAGAGTGATGAGGCAGCACATGGAGCTGCAGTGATCCTGCGTCTCCTCCAGCAGCCCGCTGGTACCACAGCTCATCAGAGTGAGTCAGTGTATGAAACCAGCTACAGGGTTGGACTCTTGTGGTGGAAACAGCAAAGATCTGGACGTCTGGAGTAAAGCTGAAGGGGTTTGTTTAAAATAATGTGTTGACTCAGGATAGCTTGATCTCCAGACTGGTGTGAGGGCAGTTTAATAACAGCTTGTTTTGCACATGAGTGTCTCCTATAATACTGTTACAGATGCTGATGTGCCTGATGGTCAGTCATCATTTACAGTAAAGTCTGATGCCTAATCTACTCTGATCGACTGGACAGGCAGAATAGAAGCTGTGTTAGTTTTAAACAGTCAGACCTGGTGGCTGGTGTGTCAGTGGTGTGGTTTATATGATCATATGGGGGCATGTAGGTAAAATAAACATGAAATATACGTTTGAATTTGAAGAGATTAGTTCAGTTTATTGACTCTATTTGTCTGTTTTCCATTCATCTGTACTGCTTTCTTGACATTTTGTTTTTTTCTATCATCATCTTATATATTTTATTTTATTATGTGAAACTTGTCGTCTTCTAGTCATTATGATGCTCTCTGTGACTTTAACCAAAGAGCAAAGAACTGCAGCTTAAAACCACTGAAATACAGAACATGAACGACAAAAACATCCTCATGATTTTACCGATGCAGTGAAGTTCAGAGACGCACTGGGAGCATGGTGATGTTGTTGATATGTTCGTCTTCTATGGAGCTATGTTCTGAGAGCAGAACGTCGGACTCTGCAGGTCTTTTTAATCTGACCTAACATTTTTGTGAATGAAACACTTGTGCAAAAAGCACCAACAGTTCTGATTTCATTTGATATTGTAATCTTTAATTAAATGATTACATCTAAAAATCATTTTCAAATGAACAAACCATGACATTAAATGATGAATAAGGTTGAAGTATGACTACTACGACTCAACAAAACATGCTATCTGATAGAGGAAGTCTGATCAGCATCATTGTGTGAGTGTTTACAACAAATTCCAAGATGTCATTTTCATTATAAGCAAACTATGATTGTTTTTCTCTTTCTGTTGAACTTCTCTGGAAACTGCTTCCTTTAAAGCTTGCTAATAAGATCAACCCTGAACCCATCCTGTCCTTCAGACCAAACCATACTCATCACAGTGCTCTGTCTGTCTAACATGTTTTCTCCTTGTGTCTCAGGATGGCAGGAAACCTGTCCTTGTGGGTCTCCACACCTGTACAGAATGTCTCCGTCTCACCTGCTTCACCCTCTCCTCCGCTCTGGGAGGCTCCGTCCTTCACCGTGGCAGCCAAATGTCGGGTGGCGGCCACCCTGGTGCTGTTTGTCTTTGCAGCCGTCAGTAACCTGTCGGTGCTGATCAGTGTTTGCTGGGGGCGGGGCTATCGCCTGGCTAAACACCTGCGCCCGCTCATCGCCAGCTTGGCATCAGCAGATCTGCTGATGACGTTTGTGGTAATGCCGCTGGATGCCATCTGGAACATCACGGTGCAGTGGTACGCTGGAGATGTCATGTGTAAGCTGATGTGTTTCCTCAAGCTTTTCGCCATGCACTCGGCAGCGTTCATCCTGGTGGTGGTGAGTCTGGACCGCTACAGGGCCATCCTCCATCCTCTGGACTCTCTCGATGCCGGGCTCAGGAACAGACGCATGCTGCTGGTGGCCTGGACTCTCAGTCTGCTGCTGGCATCTCCACAGGTACAGTAACTCCTGGGTTCCTCAGAGGGCTCCACTGGCTGGTCTGAGTCCAGTGCTCTCCACTGTAAAGGGCTTGTAGGTCCACAGACGTTATTATTGAGAGGATTTGGCGTGTAGTACCTCATCTGTCATTCATGTGGAAGCACAATCGTTTTACAGGTGCATGAACAACACAGAAGCATTGTAATCAAGTCCAGTAGCTGTTAGTAGTACAGCACAGTTACAGCAACAGACACTGACCCAAAGTAGAGATATAAGATTAATGTTTTAGATTTACACAACAAACACTTGCAAACACTCACTGACTGAACTGTAGGTCAGTCCACATGTCAGTAAATCAGTCAGTAATTCAGTTTGGAAATCACTGACGTGTTTTCACCACCAGTGGAGGAGGAATGAGGTCCATCAGGCTGTGAACATGCACACAATGCTTGCTGCTATACTACATTTATTGTTGGTTTGTTGACAATGAAACATGCATACAATATACGCCCATAGTTTATCAGCAGTATGTAGAGAAGGACCTCAGCAACGTCTTCCTGTTTGGCCCATCAGTGATCACCGTGTGGCCGTTAAACCATTGCTGCTGTACGACCCACTCTGTGTGATTTTATGGTGGTCGCTGTTTGTCAGAAATGTTTTAATGTGAAGTAGTTTAGCTCCACTGTTGTAAATTCATGTCTATATATATATATATACATATATATGATATATCGATATCTATATATGTCTATATGTCTATTGGCAGTGACTGAAACCCTGTCGCAGTCTCACCATCTCACTGACGAAGGCCCAGTTAACAAACTGTTTGCTTTTGCTCCACAGTCTGGTTTCAGAAAAGTCAGAAAGAAGTCGTTTGCATAACTTTATGTTTTTGGTGTAACACTAATTATGAAGCAGTGAGAGAGTCAAATTACAAAAATAAATCAATAAAAGAATAATAAAATAAAAGTGGAAATGAAAGGAATAATAAATGAAATAAAAAATAAATAATGTGGCAATGTAAAGCAATATTAATCAAAAATAAATCAATAAAAGAATAATAAAATAAAAGTGGAAATGAAAGGAATAATAAATGAAATAAAAAATAAATAATGTGGCAATATTAATCAAAAACTAATCTTTAAAAGAAAAGGTGAATAAAAGTAGAAATATAAATACAAATAAATAAAGCAATAATATTTTTTGTATTTTTTGTATTTTTAATTAATTTATTATTTTAAAATAATTTTTAAAAATTATTATCATTATTTATTAATTTTATTTCATTATTATTTTTTTATTTTCTTATTTTTTTTTACTTATTTTTTATGTCGCTTTAATAGCAAAGGAAATTTGCACGGAAAAATGTGCACATAAATAAATAAAAACTAAAAATGAAAATTATAATTATAAAATTATAAAAATATATTCATAAATAAAATAAAATAAAACTCAATAAAAAATAAAATACAAAAATATCATTATTAGTATTATTATTATTTTATTTGTCTTTATATTTCTATTTTTATCAGCCTTTTCTTTTATGGATTCATCTTTGATTAATATTGCCACATTATTTATTTTTTCATTTTATTTCTTCTTCTTTTTATTTCCACTTTTATTTTATCATTCCTTTACTGATTTATTTTTGTAACTTGGCGCTCTCACTGCTCCATACTTCAGAAAATCACATTGCTGTTGAAATGAATTTAATACACAAACATGGAGGTTCGAAGGTTTTGCATCGTGTGGTTTGTTTAATACAAACAAACCCAGATGTGTGTGTATTCAGAACAAATGTGTTTTCCTGTGACTGCATGGATCCACCGCTCATCTCTCTGCGATCTCTTCATCCTCAGCTCTTCATCTTTCGGGCAGTTAAAGCAGATGGGGTGGATTTCACTCAGTGTGTGACTCATGGAAGCTTCCAGCATCACTGGCAGGAGACAGCATACAACATGTTTCACTTTGTGACGCTGTATGTCTTCCCTCTGCTTGTCATGACTTTCTGCTACACCCGCATCCTCACCAAGATTAACGGGCAGATGCACAGGAGCAAAGGTGTGTGACTCCCGGACGTTCACAAGGAGTCGGGGATCCTTTAAACCCGGTCTACCCAAAACTACACACAGCAGATTTATGTGTGATAGTCCCAGTTCACATGCAGAGAAACATCACTGTTCTTCTTCGGCTGTTTCTGTTAAGAAGTCAGTCACTGTCAGGGACCGAGGTGACAGTAATGAGTCCAGAAACAGGAGCGATCAGGTTAGAAAGAAACCTCCAGGACAGACGAACATATTCAGAGAAGGAAAATGGAGATGAACATGAACATATTGACTCTCTGCCGTAAACATCCATCACAGTTTACAGATCCGCTTCCTGCTTCGGTTCTAATTTATCCTGCAGACAGTTTTCCTGGTGATCAGCGGTTAGACGTTTTGGGGTCACTATCTACTGACCAGCAGGACCGAAACACAAAGACACAGGATGTCGTGAAGTTTTTAATTCTTTAAATTTAAATTTGGTGCCACCTTCTCTTAAGACTAAAGGCCTGGTCATATGACATGAAGCCACCAGTTGTAGCTGATAGGAGATCAAGCTAATGCTAGTCAGTCAGCTATCTGAGCTGCAGACTCCTCAGCTCCATGTTGGTGGGGAGCTCCTTAAAGCTGGACTTCTATTGGCCAACTGTGCATCACCAAAAGTTGACCTCAAACTTACAGGAGTTTTGCTAATTTACTTTCCCCTTCTAATTTTAATTATAATAATTTAAAGTATTAACTAATCCTCCTTTGACTAGACTGTACTGTTGATGCTTGTGTGAAACATGTACCAGCTAATTGGTTCTCAACACCAACCAGGACTTCATGCCCTGGCAGCTATTAAACATGTTTTATCACATCGTGTCCAGACAGCACAGCTAATGGCAAATATTTCACTAAACACATGTAAGTATAACCAGATGGTATTTGCCATAAACGCATGTCTCCCAAACCTCCAAACCCTAAAGGAGATTACTCCCATCTCAACACAAGGCTTTTAGAGATAGCTTTGCATTTATGGATTTACTATTTCTGACCTCTGATATGATTCATGCTGATGTTTCTTCCACGTTGTGCTCCTGCAGAATGCGAGCAGCACCTGAGACGCAGTGGGACAGACGTGATACCCAAAGCCCGGATGAAGACACTCAAGATGACCATCGTGATCGTCAGCTCCTTCGTCATCTGCTGGACGCCCTACTACCTGCTGGGCATCTGGTACTGGTTCCAGCCAGCCATCATCCAGCACACGCCTGAGTACGTGCACCATATACTGTTTGTCTTTGGCAACCTGAACACGTGCTGCGACCCGGTCATCTACGGCTTCTACACGTTGTCTTTTCGAGCCGACCTTGCCGACGTGGTGGCTCGCTGCTGCAGCCGTCGGTCCAACGACGAATCGCCTCGCTCTGTGGACCGCCTGGATGGTCACAGCGCCGGAGCAGCTGGAGAAATGGAGTCTGAACTGAGCTCCAACCCCCACTGTGGGGACCCTCATGTACCCGTGGTGATCTGACTCTGAGGGATTAGGCGTTGTTCAAATACACCGAATGTAGGTATCAGCCGTGATATCCATCCATCATCTATACACTGTTTAACCCTCACTAGGGTCGCTGGAGTCTATCCCAGCTGACTCAGGGTGAAGGCAGGTTCACCTGGACAGGTAACCAGTCTATGAAGATCCCCGGTTGGCGTCCCGGTGAGGACACCCAGGATTGTTCTGCGTGGAGTCTCCATGTTCTCCCCGTGCAGGGTGCTCTCCGGGTTCTCCGGTTTCCTCCCACAGTCCAGAAACATGCTGAGGTTAATTGGTGATTCTAAATTGTCCGTAGGTGTGAATGTGAGTGTGCTTGGTTGTCTGTCTCTAAGTGTAGCCCTGTGATAGACTGGTTACCTGTCCAGGTGAACCTGCCTTCACCCTGAATCAGCTGGGATAGACTCCAGTGAGGATTAAGGTGTAGAGATGATGGATGGATGTTTTACTGCAGCAGTCTCCAGACAGTTCAGTCCTTCATGTCACCCACCAGATCACCTTTACTGAGGGACTCTCTATCTTGCATGCCTTTAAAGCATGAACAGAGTTTAAATCTGTTACTTGGCCGCCGTGTAGTCTGTTTATCTATTAGTCCTTTTGATGCTATAGGCTAACCCTGTGATGACCTCAGCTCTGTCAGAACAGGCATGAGAATGGATGTCAGCCTCCTTTTATTCCCCGTATGGTGAAATGTCTACCTATCTGCTGTTGTGTTCTGAAAAAACTAAAAAATTGATAAAGGGTATTTTTTTGGGTAAAGTATTGTCCTGAACTTTAGCAGCATCAATAAATGTTCTCCAAACTCAACGTAAATATTAATGATCAGATCTTCACTATCAGACCCCTGTAGAGCTTCTAACAACCAGTTGCTCTAACTTTGAGTCTTTTGACCTGAAATGAATGAGCTTAACTCACTAAATTAAGTTTATAAAGAAATGAAACTCTGTGGGCAGACTTCCCAGGAACTGTTGTTAGCGAGTTAAAACTTCTTTCTCGTAGGTAGAAGAACCCATCGCTCTGTGTCTTCAACATGTTAAACTGACCGATTGAACTACGTCCTTCCACATATGTACATGTTGTGTTTCTGCTGGTGCAAAATAGCTCCAGAAGCTGCAGCTATCAGGTTCGCATACTGAACAGAAATGTGTTCCAGCGTGCCTGTAACCAGTAACCAGTGTGTTCAGCTCTTAAAGTCACTAATTAGGAAAGGTTTAAGGCTGCAGGAGAACTTGTGCTTTACTTTTTTTCCCCCTGAATTTAAAATATGTGAATATTAAGGTTGCTGTGGACCAGAATACATAAGCTAGAAATAAAGCAGGTTGTTCAATGTGCCAAAGACACTGAAAGCCCAACTTGTTCCCAACAGCTGATTAGTGAATTAGCAACACGTCGTAAAGCCCTTTGTTGAACTGAACTCATGTTAAATTGGATGTACAAGTACTATATAGAGTCCTGTGCAGAAGTGCCATGAAAATGTTTGAACTCTAACATACAAGATGATTTATTATATTCTATATATTATTATATTCAATGTGATCATGTCTATTGTTAGTAATTATTTCAAGAAGTTAACATGCACAATGTCAAAAAGTCTCAAAAGGTTTCATTGAAAGTCTCCTGGACAGCAGTGGCAGAGTTTACTGTAGTTTTAGGCTACAGGTCGGCTGCTAGCTGGACTAGATCATTTCAACTCAGGATGCTGGTCAGCTTTATTTATCTATTGTTGGGTAATTTAGGGACAAAGTGAAGGTAGCGTTTGTTTTGGACACAATATATAACTCACGATGCATTTAGTGATGACAGAGAGAAATAATATATGAAAGAAATGTATTTCTATATGATATGTCTATGCTGTATGTATAATATGTGTATATATAATAAACAATATAGTATATTACATTACTGTAAGTCAGTGTTTTGGTATTTAGCTGGAAGCTGTGGGCTCAGAACATCCTCATAACCAGCACAACAAACAAGCAGTAAATGATGTGCATCAGCTAAACGATTCTTTTTTCTGACCCTGCCACTTTCCCCTCTGATTTTAGGGGTTGAGGGTCAAAAGTTGGGATATATCGGGGTCCACATCGGTATCGGCCGATATCAGTGTTTTTCCCGTATATCGATATCGGTCTGATGAACAAGTTCAGCCGATGTGGAAAACTGATGACTGTCTAACATCAGCGCCTTCGTCTCTACGTTTGATATTGTTGCTATTTCAGAGATGTTTTGGACTTTAACGCTAAATATGTTTAAATATGTTTTACTGTTGTTACATAGTGAAGAAGACTGTGTGGTCTAACCTGGGCTTCTTTTGAATAGTTTTCTCACAGTGCTTACTGATACTCGTTTTTCAGTGTGAACGAAAATTGAATATCGGTGATATCGGTTATCAGCGATATCAGAAAACTTAACATCGGATATCGGTATCGGCCAGAAATTTCAATATCGCGCATCACTAGTTAAAACCGATGTGAATCCTTTACATTTATACGAGTGCATTACTTGGGCGACTCCTCAGTCTGTGCTGCTCACTGAACTAATGATGAACGCTAAAACAAACACAGAAGACAGACAAAGTTGATTTCAGTTAAATGTCTTTATTTGGTTTTAGGCGTGTTGGAATGAAGCATGATATGAGGAAGAGGAAGCAGCTGAGTGCGGTCCACATCCAGGTAGAAGAGACCAAGCTGTTAGAAAGGATCTGGAGATCTAAAAATGTTTTAATTCTTCTTATAAATATTCCTCAGTTTAAACTACGGAAACTAAATATATTAACTGTATTCACTTAAATTTAAAAAGTAAAAATTTACATCAAATTGTGCTTCAAAGGTATTTTTGTTTTGTACCCTGAATTTCTTGAGGTGATTTTGTGTTCCACAGTTTCTGGAGCAAACGGCCCACGTTGTTGTACAAAACAACAAGTCACCAGAGTCGGGCCGAATAAATAAATAAATAACACTGAAGAGTTCGTTAACGTAAATCATCAGATACGTAAGTTCTCCGTCGCCCTGGTGGGATCCAGTCATTATGGCAGTACGGACAAAAGTAGAACTACACAGCTGGGTTAAAGAAAAGAAAATCCATTGGCGTAAATAAAGGAAGCTAGTTTTGCTGAACATGGCGACCACTTTGGCCACAAGTTGCCAAAACAGAAGTAAAACCAGAGATGATCGAGCCACGATGCAAACTGGTCGCTGTAATGAGCTGGAGACAAAGAATCCTCGCTCAATAAAACCCAAATTAGTTTTTATTTTGTATGATCTGTGTGAACTGACACCATTTAATGTGTGCAGATAAACTCTGATGTGAAATAATTGCGTTGTGATGTAACATGTTGGAGTCACAGCTTGGTCTCTGGTTCTGGTCACAGCGTCTCCACACTCAGCCGTCCACGTCCAAGTCAGAGACCGAGGACTCGACCTCGGCCACGGCAGGTTAAAGCTGCAGGTCGGCTAGAAGCACTTAGAATTATTAAAGCATCTTTCTCATTGGTACTAGCGGCAAGTTTCTACTTTCCTACATTTTTTCATCTTTTTGTAGCATTTGTCTTCTAGAGTCTGGTTCTCCGAGGAGGTAGAACGTGAGTTTGTCTCCAGAAACTTATCATCTCTGGAAAACTCACTTCGTTTGCTCGAAGATCTTCAAAAAGCAATCCTTAGAAACATTCAAACAAAGAAAACATTTCCATAATCAATGCTGTCAAATCTAATAATAATAAAAATAATTACAACAATAAGGTTTGAAAGCAAATACACATTTTGGCGACGTCACCTGTCATCAGCAGGAAGATCTACAGACTCAAATAAACAGAAGCAGAGAAATGAACAGAAGCAGAAGCAGCAAACGCTTTCCATTTAAAAACTATCTCAACCACTACACACTTCACGCTACGAAAACACACTGGACTTCAGGTCTTCCATCTCAAATTCACTTTTTGGTATCGCATTGGTTCAAAAGCTTTTAGTTGTTTGACGAAGAAAATGAGGAGAAAATGTTTCTGTGTTGGAGTGAACCTTGAAGACTGTAAATGGGACAAACCATTAGAATTAGATTTCATAATACATAAACCTAATAAGCCACGACTGAAGCCAAGTTAAAGCACTTTTTGGTGGTTTCAGATGAAGTCCATCTGAAGTCACAGTGAACGTGATTTCTTTGGATTTGAGTGGGCAGGTCGAGCCAGTCAACAATCTAATATCTCAAAGTCTAGTTTCTGATCCGTAGACAGACGGTGTTTGGTTAGAAACTACAAGGATGACTTCATTTAGCATCTACGTTTACAGTTGCTGATGGGTTTTAAAGCTGTTAAGCTAGCTAGACAGCTAACTATCGAGTCTTAACGGTGACAGAAACATGGTTTATTCACTCATTAGGTTTAGTATTCTTTGGTGAGCTACCTACAAACAATGGGATAAAAGTATTTTTATATATTTTTTTAAAATCAAAATTAGCTTCCCGATGCTACTGTCTTCAAGGTTCACCTCCGCTGTAAGCCGTGTACACGCATGTTCGTCATCCTGCTCACATGCATGCTTCTGTGCTTTGGTTGTGAGAAACTCTAAAGACTATAAAAATGTACAGTTATTTGGTTACACATTTCATCGAGATACCTAAATATTTGGCAAGAGTTCATCTAATTTAAAAGAAGAAGGCGAGTGTTCCTCACAGCGTCGACATAAAAAGTCTTTCAAAATATCTTCATTTGGTGGCTCTTTAAACATTAGAATCAACAAAATAAAGAGTTTCATGTTGACGGGTGCACCGCGGACGACTCCAAAACGAAAGGACACGAAGGATATTCTTTAAAAACAGTCATGAAATCATAATCAAAACTCTTTTGGTTCAAGTTCAGTTAAAGCACTTTGCACGGGCGACCCACTTCAAACAGAACGATCCAAAACTAAAGGTAAATGTATAACTCTCTCTTAAATTTAACAGTAAACCATCACATGTTTACATCTTTGGGTATCATTCAGCTTGGTTTCCAGAGAACACATTTTTGGTTGGCTGACACGGTGAACATGAGCCTCGTCAGTGCATTCAGGCAAGTGTCACCTTAAAACTTCTTTAACCGTTAAGTCGGCGCCATCGAGGTCCAGTTTGGCATCCGGAGAGTTCACCTGATAGCATGTCTTTGTTGTTGTCAGTTTGCTATCAGATCAAACAAGTTTTCTTTGATGGACTGAGAAATAATGGAGATATTTCCCATGACCCATGTCCTCTGCATGAATCTGTCTTTGGAGATGGACACGTGGGCCATGGATCACCACAGAATGGAGCTGAACGGATCAAGGAGGCGACACCACGCAGCCTTCTGGAGATCTTGTGATGTCAGATCCAAAAAGCTGAAGATTTCCACCAGAACGGCCAAGCTGGTGGAAATAAAAGGCATCCTGGCTTGAACAGGAATTAAGGCTCATGATGATCCTTGGCTTGGGCTCGTGGCAGCATCACCCAGTCTGCCCTCCATGGTGGTTGTCCTGGTTTGACCTGACTAGCACTGGTCAGTGAAGCTGTCACAGAGGGGAAGGGGTTTTTGGGCCGAGGCATCACCAGGCTAACACTGGCCTCAGCTATGGCTTAGACGTTCTTGTGAGACTGAGGTAGTTTTATTTTGGAGTTGAGCAGCTTCTGAGTAAATGGCTCTTCTAAAAGTAAAGCTTGTGAAGAATAATTTCTAATCAGACTTCTGTAACGTGTTCACAAAGGCCACTATGTTTTTTTCTTATTGTAGAGGAACTAAAGGCAAAGAGTTCTGTCACAGCACATTCACTGGAATGTCTCAGTCAGCTGAACATATTTGGCTTCGTTTGGTGTTTTAGGATCACACTTCCTGACGTTCCAGTTTATCAGGGGAGCTCCGAGGGGTAGAACATTTTGGTTATGGAGGAGACTCCCGCTGACAAACTGACACATAAAGAACGTGACAGAACGTAATCTGGAGTGGCACTGCATTTCAAAGGCTTCTTCTACACGCACACGTGCATGTGCACAGGCAATAAAGGCAATAAGCTTTGGTTTGAGGTAGGGGCTAAGGGTGGGCTGAGGGTGGAGAAGGACCAAGATGCCTCCTGGTCCACATTCACCAGTCTACTTCAAGCTATTAGCAGCATGTTTTAGGGAGACTGACCACCATCAAAGGGCACAGGAGGTGCTCGTCGATGGGAGGTCTGGGTTTCCTTGGTGAGTAGCAGACTGTAGGAGGGGAAGAAGGGGATGTGGGAGCTGTGATGCTACTGCCCAGTGCTAGCCAGCGCCCGCCCATGCAAACCTGATGAATGCTGCTCGATCATCACCTGGCACTGCGCTGGACACACCATCTGCTTGCAGGAAGGGAGAAAGGCAAGAGAGAAAAAGAACAAGAAGTTAGAGATCACAAGTCTGAAGTGATTTCTGACCAACACATCACCAGTAGACTGCTGAGCATCACAGAGTGTTGGCTCTTCTTCACCATTTGAGAACCAGCATTGCTCCAAATAACCATCTGTGAATGTTTTATTTTAATAAAGGAAGCTATCAGGGACTGATGTAACCAAAATGAAAAAGAAATGACAGTTTGTTCATTTGCATTCTTGTGTTTTTTTGGTTTTGGCTTTAATTTTTGTTTTCCTAAAGAACTAAGAATTTTGCCAAAATGGTCACAAATGGCAGCAACTGTGGAAATGACCAGAAATAAAAACTTCTCTACTGACAATATTCAGCATGTAAACACTGATTCATTAGGAGCATGGTGGATGCATTCCACAGTGGTATCAACTATAAACTAGAATCGTGGACAACACAAGGTGCAGCAGTTATAAATCTGAGTTATGAAAGGTATACATCATCTCACAAATGCTCCATAAACATAAAAGAACATCTAAGGTCCTCCCTGTAACAGACCTGATCCACACTGGGGTATAAAGCTGCTGTCTGAAGAAGTGACTGCAGTCAGTCTGATCTTTGTATGTGTTCTTGTTATGACCTGCATCTCAAAGCTACCCGTATTAGTGAATAAAACCGTTACTACCTGAGGTGCAGACTCCGCTCTGGAGTGCTGTCCTTCATCTTTAGGGATGCCGTTGAGCCCTGTGTTGACTCTCTGTACAGACCAGCTCTCCTGAGTCCCTTTGCTGCAAAACAGACTGCAAACAGGTTCAAGCTATGAGTACAGATTAACTTCACATTAGAATAGTTAAAAAGTTTTCATCAAGTTTGATCACTGAAGTAACTTGTCCAGTAAAGATGACACATTATTCACTGGATGGTCATTTATACTATATGATAGAGATAAAATACAAAGGAGAGGATGTTGAGGGTGTTGTACCTGCGCCGGTATCCAAACATGAGGAAGAGGACACAGAAGATGATGCAGGCGGTGCCGATGTGGATGCCGATGACAATACTGCCCAGAGAGGCCTCTCCATCCCGGCACTGACACAGACTGCTTCCTCCTGGGAAGAAACACAGCAGTGATGAGGAACATCAGGACGGAGAAAACCAAGCTTCACCTGGACAAGCATTTCAAACATCGTCTCATCGTCTTCGTACTGCAGAATGAATGTAACTATAACAATATAAACCAGATGGGGGCACACACAGATGAAACACTCTCCCCTTTTTGAAGGCCCAGTGTTAACTTCTATCCCACCTACAGTCGATACAATCTTCTGATGACCATCTACTGTGTAATCAGGCAGTTACAGTACACCAGAGGACATAGCCACGACACTGAGCTCTCCATGGATAGTTATCGGCCCCGGCAGGCTCTGAAGATGGAGAGGATGCCGGTCCGGCCTACGTGCATGGCCGAGGAAGAAACCATTCAAACGAGAAGGGTGTGTCTGCAGCCCAGGAGGCTTCTTCTAGGACCCACAGTGTTTGTGTCACCTGCTGAGTCAGATGCCAGCAGAAATAACAGCATTCCTGTGATCATCCTCACCAGTGCTTTGGTCACTCGTGCCTTCCTCTGCCAGTGACACCAGTCTCTTGGAGCAGTCACTCTCCCCGTTTCCATTGTAGGCCACCAGCTTGACTTCATACACGGCACCAGGTTCTGAAACAGAGTCGCCCACACAGAGTCGGTCAGGAGGAGGAAACAGCACGCTAAGGAATGTGTGATCTACATAACATTGCAGCAGCTGGTTTTAATGTTGTGGCTGATCGGAGTGTGACGTGGAGCCATGGGGCCACACTTTTAACTACAGTTACATTGAGTGCTGTGAGATCATGAACAGCTAAGAGAACGGCACTGCAAGACGTCACTGCATCAAACATAATCACCAAATCCAGTACTTTAGCTCTGAAGATCAATGCTGTCAGGGAATCCTCTACAGATCGACTTCATAGACAGTCGCTGTTAAAGGCTGACTGATAACAGACTCATTCAGGCACGCTCACTAATCTGTCAATAAGGTTCTGATATTCAACATCACATCACACTTTCTGTCTATTTCACATCTTTCAGCTACAACTGTTTCTTGATTTTCCAGTATCTAAGTGGAGAAATAAAATAAACCAGTAACTGTAAAGAAGGCGAACTGGATCTGTCCATTGCACAGCGTTTGACATACGTCAGTGTCAGAGTGTGTAGAGACACAGTTCGCTTCATTAGGGATCTAAAAGTGTAAATTATTTCTCAATAATGAAGAATCCTGTATCGCTGCTAAACTGGTTGAGGCTGAATTTGCTTCTGTCAGAGGAGTTTTTCCTCCCAAGCGCTGCTCAGACAGGAACTGTCTCTATAATCACTGTAAGGTCGTCCCCACAGTATGGCCTAGAGGGAGAAATATTATATGTTGGTGCTGCATCAATACATTTAAATTGAACTGAAAATATTTTGTAAAGTTTGAAGTGTACAGAAATAAAAGAATTACTGAATGCAGATCTTTCCATGAGACAGTTTTGCCTCCTGAGGCACAATAAACACACTTACCCAGGTTGGAGATGGTGTGGGCGTTGACGTGCCAGGGCAGCTGAACTGGCCCTTGGTATTCGGGCTGGGGGACCCTTCGGTAGGACAGTCTGAAGCCCTCAGCCTTACCGGCCGAACTGGGGAACTCCCAAAGGACCTGCACGGCGCTGGAGTTCATCACCTTGGTGAAGTAGGTGGGTGGTGTCGGCACTGAATGGAGAGCAGAAACAGGAGATGGAGAGTTGACAGATGTGAGAACAAACAGTACCGACTGAGAAAATGTAGTGTAAGTGTACGAAAGTAAAAAATAGGTGTACTATAGTAAAATGTAAACATGACATAGAAAAGCCAGAATTAGATACGTAAGACTAAATATCTGAGTAGACAGCAGGTAGACCGTGTGTGTCTCATTAAGTGTGACACTACAGAGCAGCAGTCCACACTGGTTTAACCAATGTTTCCTGTCCTTACCACCCCCTAGTGTGGTAGCCACCACGGTGCCGGACTGCTGGCTGGCTCCCATTGGAGAGTAGGCCTTCAGGTAGAGGGAGTAGGTGGTGGCTGCCTCCAGGTTGGTCACGTCGTGTTGGAAGGTGCCTTTACTGATGGCTTCCTGCAGCTCCAGACTGTCAGGCTCTAAAACACACAAAACAAACAGTTTTCTCATGCACTCGTCTCATATTGTGTGTGTGTGTGTGTGTGTATGTGTGTGTATGTGTGCATGTGTGTGTGTGCACTAACCTCCTAGTTTGCGTATGTGCAGCACGTATCCGATGATGCCCTCCGTGACGTTGGCGGGCGGCTGGCTCCATGTGATCTGCAGCGTGTTGGTGGACAGGGAGCTGGCCTGGAGCCCTGCAGGGGCAGCAGGCAGGTCTTTGGCCTGAGCCACGGCCAGACGTGCGCTGGCCTGGTTGGTACCAGCGCTGTTCTCAGCAATGCATTGGTAGATGGCCTCGTCCTCTGAGGTGATCCGGGTCAGAGCCAGAGTGCTGCACAGATGACACACAAACAGCTTCATCAGTTCAGTGCTGCTCAGAGTCGAACAACAAACTTAAACTTCTCTTTTGATTTATTGTAATTTTTATAACTTGAGAAGCAATTTTTCAGATGTATTCTCAATCAGTTCTGGTGATTCAGGCTGTATGTGGTGTATCTGTTTACATCTGTCTTCTATATGTTGAGTTCAGCTCTTGGAATGGAGAGACTTCATATTTTTAATTTCTCATCAGTCAAGTAAAAAGTCCAGAAAAGTCCAGGCCTGCTGTCACTTACCTGTTGTTGTTGGTCAGCTTTACGTTCTGTCCAGGCATCAGCACCTTGCCGTTCTTCAGCCAGATGAGGTGAGGCTCAGGAACACCCTGGGCCACGCAGGTGAACACTGCACTGCCCCCTGCTGGCTTGGACACAGACTGTGGCCACTGCAGGAACTCAGGAGGAGCTGGAGGAGGAGAGACAAAGATAGAATAATTATATCATGTGCATTTTACGGATGCATAAAGAACTGGACGACTGTAGTGAAGAGAAGTTCTGGGTGATGAACCCTCTGATGTGTGGAGACTTGAATCAGAAGGAATAAAATGTAAGACAAGGAAACAGAATTATGATTTAAAAAGGAGACATAAAAGTAATACAAACAGATACTAGACTTAGCGAGGGTTTTACCAAAGGCCTATAAAGACTTTTCTGGTTCATAACAACATGGGTCTGATTTGTTTTAACCATTTCAACTGTGACGAAGCATCCATCTATTATCTACACACTGCTTTATCCTCTGTAGGACCGAAGGGGGCTGAAGCCTATTCCAGCTGACTCAGACAACCAAACAGTCACATTATGGACCATCTAGAATCACCGATCACATGCAAACCCATGCCAAGGTTGGACCCAGGACCTCTGAGCTGTGAGGCGACCAAGCATTAAAACGACAAAAACAGAGAACTCCATGTTTAAAGGTTTGCTTGAGATAATATCAATGAAACTGAAGCTGAGTGGATCTGACTCAGTAGAAATGACAGCGATGGAGATAACTGAAGTTTGATTGATATTGTCTCAGGTAGATGATGGAAACGTGGGTTTATGAAGGTTTGTAAAGGTGGAGGTATCTGTCTCTGAAAATAAACTCTTCAATTATTTAAACCTATGTATGCTCCCACTGTGGGTTTACAGTAGCGTAAAAACCAGACTTATAGAGTCGCTAACCATCAAAGAAACCCATCGGTGCACAAAGAAAGCCTCAATAATATGTCAGATATCAATAAATACACATGAAAATGGAAATCAATTATCTGACATTTATCAAACCCAGAGCTTGTGAATCCCCTCAAACCGTCAGGAAATCAGTTTATGTGCTTGAACTTCATATGTGAAGCTCATCTACACACACACACACACACGCACACACACACACACACACCCCGGCCACTTCTCAGCTGTCCTTGGACAGATGCAGGGTTGACTGCTGCCCCTGACATCCAGCTCAATATCGGAGACACAATAGACGTGCATATATATGTGTTGGGATAACAGCAGCACTTCTTAATCCTGGAGCCCTTCCCCACTTCAGCCCACATCCAGCATCTCATTGATCTCCTGACCTCAACACCCACAGTGAACCCCCAACCCCCCAACGGTCCACCTATAGGCTCCAGGGCGACGTGTCACCCAGATGACCATTTCAATAAGGACACATTCATCATTGGAGCCAGAAGAGCAGATTTTTTCCACCTATTGTTCAAACCACAAGCTCCTGGTTGATCTGAGTCAAAACTAAGCATGAAAAGAAAAAGAAGGAAACAGTCATTTAGCCTTGAGGTGTGTGGGTTGTTGTTCCATCCCAAATGCAGACATGATGGGGTAAAGAAATGTTAATATTGGTTTTTGGATTTTAAGAAACAGATTCAGTCTACTGGTGCTCCTCTGGTATACAGACAGGTTTCACACATGCAGTATTTCAGATACTTCAGATGACATGTAATCATTTGGGGCAATATAATAAAACTCAGATCATTTCGAGGATAGGTGGCTGACCTCTCTGAGATTCAGCTTTAGTGTTGACATACAACAGCAGACAAGATGATGCTAACACAGCTACAAACGCAAGAACAAATCACTTCTCTGGCAGAAAGAGGTTTGTGACATCACTGGCAAGGCAGGTTCACCTGGACAGGTAACCAGCCTATCACAGGGCTACACTATGGACAATTTAGAATCATCAGTTAACCTCAGAACCTCAGAATATGTGTTTTTTTGTGACTGAAACATTTCTTTCATTGTGTTTTTCAGATCCCTCTCTCTCTCTCTCTCTCTCTCTCTCTCTCTGTGTGTGTGTGTGTGTGTGTGTGTGTGTGTGTGTGGGGTGGTGTGTGTGGGGGTCATCGTTATTTCTCAGGGGGCGTAGCTGTCCGCCCCCTCAGCTGGCCCACCATCATGCTAGGAGGTGCCAGGCGTCCTCAGCTGAGCGTTCATTAGTCGATCCATACCAAGTATTGATCAGCGGTTCTGTTGACCTTGAGTTTCACTGAGCCTCATGTGTCTCTCTATGTTTATGGTTGGACAGCTACCAAACATAAGCAGGTTTACGTATGTGTGAGGCATAAGGTGCTATTTTCCTCATAAAGCTGACATTTTGGCCACTCAGTCGTGTCCGGTGCATCCTACTAAGAGTCGTGTAGTTAAGGAAGCACAACAAACCTCCAGCAGAAAAATGATGTCAGTTTGAATGCAGTAATTATAACAGATGAAGAACCACCATCCTCAGGATCTACGGCAGTAAGGTGGAACGAATACGTGTTTAGTTTTAAAGGTTCTCTAATGTTTTAATTGTATTTATTTAACCAGGAAAAGGCTCATTGAGATTAAAGATCCTGTCCTGGTGAAGACAGGCAGCAGCACAACAGACAGACTGACAGACATCATAATACCAAGTGAAATCAAATGTTAGGAACTAGCTGGCTGCTAGTTGGGAGCAACGCAATCTGGTTCCAACTCTGAGGGGCACACAAGCTGTGACAGTAAACATGGAGAGGAGCAGCATTGAGGAGGTTCAGCTAGCTCATTAGCTAAACATGCTGCAGTTCCTTAAGTTACACGTTGATCCAGAGGAAGTGCTGAGATCAGAGATCTTATTTACGCTTATTTATGGAGGGTCATTTACCGCTCCGCTCTCCAAAGTGGCCGGCCATGTTTTGTATCTCCCTCTAACTGATGGCCCCCTGGTGGGCCGCCCCCCACCTCCATGCGATCCATCTTCAGGTCCGACCAAATGAGCCGTGAGACCCCAGCTCCTCCCTATCTGCCGCCCTGACTCCACGGCCTCCTGCCTCCAGCCCCTCCACTGACACACGCCTTCAATCCTCATGTCAGGGTCAGAGGTCGGAGGTCATTCTTTACCCCCCACCCCTTCCCTTGAAGCCCCCGCCTGCACCTTGCATTGACCGTCTAGTCGTCCCCCACGTATTGTCTCTTTGTGTGTTGTTGTCTTTGTCCTGAACCTGACCGTGGACGCTCACAGACTGTGTGAAAGTTTAGACCTCTGCTAACCTCACAAACCTCACTGAGACCACCAAACTTCATCTGGATCAGGAAAAACATTTGCATTAACTGTGAGTCATGTTTTTAACCCCCAACTGTTTTATTGAGGCAATGTGAGCTGAACCATGAACAGAGATATGGTCAGTATTCTCCAAACTGGGCAGAATATTTTGACTATAAATATTTTTAACCGTGTTCCTAAGCAATTATTCAATATATGACTATTTTTAAAAGTCTAATTTGATTCAAAGCTTGTGGTTATAAATTACCCTTAACTACAAATGTGAAAAATACACAAAGAAAAGATTTAATATGCTTCAACTTGTGCAACTACACAATCAGGAATCATCAGAATTTACAAGACACAAATCTCACCGGTGTATATTTGAGTGAATTTAAATGAAATGAAAAATACTTTATTTATCCCAGAAGGGAAATTAAATTATAAATATCAATAAATAAGCAATAAATATCAGTATATCTGCACAGTTTTATGGTTCTTATTTAAATTTAACTTTAATTCTTCACTCCACAATATGTTTTGCTTCTGTTTTGCACGAATACAGTTATTTTTATTTTCAGTTACTTTAATTTTTAGATTTTTATCTTGCACATTGGACCTTACTCTGTATTTATTGTTGCACCAACCCACCAGAACTAATTCTTCATGTTGTGTAAACTATACCTGGTAATAAATCTGCATAAATGTTCCTACGAACATCTACAGATATGAATCTTACGTCAACATAATAATGTCGTAACACCATTTTTGATTTGATTTATCAGGTTATCTAAGAGACAGCGTCTCATTATTTGTGGCGATTGATGTCACATCAGATTTTCTACATTCATCCAGCCTCATTAAAGGAATTTATAAACTTTCATCTCACTTAATTACGACTGGAGCAAATCTGAGCTTCACTGACTGCAGCATAGAGATGATGATCTGCAGGATACAACAATCTCCATGAGTCACATGCTGTGTGGTCACGTCACCAGATAGCCAAAGCCTTAAGCTCACTAACTGATCAATACATTAATGAATATATTAGAGATCAGCCCTTCCCCCGTCTCCTCATCAGAGCTGCTGCCAATCACTGAACACAGAGTGACAGGAGGTCATATTAACTGATCCAGTCAGAGAGACACAGGACAGAAACAGACAGATGCATAAAGGCAAAGACGGGTTATATGAATATAGATTCATGCCGTGGACGTTACAACAAACTGAATGACGTGTGCTTTGATTATTATGGGGTTTGTATATGGAACGCTGTGGATTGTTTGAGGAAGAGAACAGAAAACACATGTGCTGCACTGCTCTCAATCACTGACCTAAAACATGAAATGTGTTGTTGTAAAGGTCCTGCTGTTGACTCTATCTTTCTTTATATGTTATCATATATTATGTATAATTATTCATTTATTCATATGTCAGTATTTCATAGTATTGATGTAGTATACCTACAGTCATTTCTAAAGCTGTGAACAAGTGTGTCATAACAACCTCAAGTAGGTTGGACAACCAAGACGCGTATTTCCATGAATGTTGGATTGTCAGTAATGAGCACTGATGGAGTTCTGTTGGGTCTCTATTGGGCCTCACCTTGTACCACGAGGCGTCCGAGTGCAGTGCGTCTCATTCTGGTGCCCGGACGATTAGCTGCACAGACGTAAACACCAGAGTGCTGCAAGGAAACATCTGAGATCATCAGGTTCCCCGTGCCCAGAACCTGGATCCCCTCCACCCCGATGGAGCGTCCGTCTGATGGGAACAGACACAAAGGTGCACAGAGACGGTTCGTCAAATAAAAGCAGAGCCTGCAGCCTGCTGCTAAATCATCTTCTACCAACATAAACTCTATCAGGATGTTTTCAAAGCACCTAGCCTGCTCCAGGAGACAATAGGCCTTGGGTTTCCTGTGGCAATGCACTCCAAGATGGCCGTCTGATGGACAGTGATGGTGAGGTTCTGGGGCCCCGACAGGATGATCGGCTCCTTGTAGGTTCTGGGAGCTCCACCTGAAAGGACGATATGACACAAAGAAGTGGATAAGTTGACCAAAAATACTGACTCAAAGCCAGTGAAGGAGTGCATAGTGTCACCTGGTGCTGTAGTGTTCATGTGAAGCAAGCATTTTATCTCAACTTTTATCCAATATTTTAACCAATGAAGTGCAGTATTACATCTACCGCACTGCTACACACGTTTAGTGCTAAACACAATGAATTTGGGCCTTCAGCTCTAATGTTTATATATTGTTTTCTTACTACTTTGCTCTTGTTTAATTGTACTTATGATTTATTAGACTTTTTCTTTTAAAGAAAATAGGACCTGAATACTAATTTCGTACCACAAACATACGAATGTGAGCTGGCACAACAAATAAAGTTCCTTCAAGCCTTTTATAAAGCTACTGCTGAAAATACCTTCACAAAAAGGACAGAACCAAATAATTTGTGCATCAGGTTATGGCTTCTTGTTATTTCCTGTATATTTAAAAATCGAATGGCCCTTTTTAACATATTTATATATCTCTATGATTATTATATTATATATTTGTTTCAGAAAATGACCACAGCAGAGACAATACAGCTGTTACTGATGACTGAGCAACTATCTGCATGGTGAATAAGTCCTGTGTGACTACACAGCAAGTCCAGAACGGTCTGCAGGATGTACAGACTGATTAACAGAAAGTGACCAGAACTCATCCCAACCAGTGGTCGGACTCTAACACAGAGAGACCTGTGATGTGTGGAAGAGGAACGTCTGAACAAATAAAGGATCAACTTGTGAGCCAAAGCTGGATGATGGTGCTTTAGGAAAACTCTGGAAGGACATTTTATCTTTCAACAGGATTCCTAAACCTAGAACCAATGATGCTAGTAAACTGTTTAGGATGAAGACATAGAATCCATCCATACTGGCCAAGTCAGACGACTGATCAACGTCATGTGAGCTCAGCTGGACCTCAGTCTGACTGAGTCGTGGCTCCAAGACTTAAACACTAGATACCAAATATAAGGCTTCATGTTGATCTGCTCAGTTTTGTTTAAACTAAACTTTGAGAACTAAGCGTTCAAATGGCTGCATCTCCCACTCAAGTTGTTCTATATTGATATAAATCTACTCAGATTAAGAGCTTTGATAGACAAATAAGCTTTACATTAATATCTATTGTTTTATTTTACACTGCTGAAGCCTGAAAAACAAAAGAGAGAACAGTCCAAATGGTGACAGTCTTTATCTGTAAACCGGACTTCAAGGGTTGCCTAATAAATGTGACACAGTTCACAGGACTTAACATAAATACAACACAAGTGTGAGCACGACTTTTCAAAGCAGCATTCAGTCTGAAGGGAAAAGACATTACCTAATCAACCATTGCCAATTACAAAAACTCTTGGATAAAAACAAATGAAGACATGAAGGAGAATAGCTCAGGTTGTATAGCACTGACTGCTACAGGTACAACATGTCACAAGCTCTCAGTTAAATCCATAAAGGCATTAATATTATTTTATTCCTTATCGACCTGCGTATCACCAGCTCCATGGGCATCCACATACCAGTGACGTTCAGCGTGGCCTCGCTGCTGTAGCGAGTGTTGGCGATGTTGGTGGCAACGCAGCGGAAAACTCCAGCGTCCGCCTGTCTGACGCCGGTCACCTGGAGGATCCCCATCGGTAGGAGAGTGTACCTGGACGGGGAGGACAGGTCACATGCATTAGTGCTACTATAAAACCATTAAAACCAGGACACGATGTTTAGTTACAGTCTGTTACCAGCACATACAGTGTACTCAGAAACAAAAAAAGACCATACAACGTTACTATCACCTACACTTAAAATGTTAAATACATCTATAATCTAATTCTTCTAATCTTACTTTTACCTTTAGTTCACTGTCTGCATGTATATGAGCATCACATATTACTGAGATCTGTGTCTAGTCCTGAGCATCCAGCTGCAGCAGCGGTTTAAAAGGTTTGATTGGATGCTTTCATACTTTTAACCTTGACTTCTATAAATTTTTTTAAAAAAAAGGTGGTCATAAAGTTATAGTAATCAGTAATCAGTGTTTGATGCATGTTGATGGCTGAGTTTGTACGATGAGGCCTCCATACATACGTACCACCGTCCAGGATCTACACTGTGGTATGTGTGGACGGTGTTACCTGCTGTCGGTGGTGTTCAGCAGCACTCTGTCTCTCTCCCACGTGATTTTGGCTTCAGGAACTCCGTTAATCTGGCACTGGAAGCGAGCAACACCTCCCTCATCCACAGACATGGACACTGGGTGGGTGTGGAACTTTGGAAGAGCTGAGGAGCAAAACACACAAAGATACACCTTAATGAGAAAAATAAACCCATCCATCATCTATAGATCACTTAATCCTCACTAGGGTCACTGGAGTCTATCCTATCCTTTGAAACCAATTGTACAATAACCTAGATGTAGTTCTGGGGATGTCATCGGGGTTTTCAGCCTGGGCTGACTATGGGTTACAGACTGCTTGTAATATTTCAGACTGTGGCTTTAAAAGTCTACGAGACAGGTAAAAAGTGATTTTTAGGAGATTTAAGGGTTTTTGCAGTTTCACCTATAGTACGTCATCTTCTACCTGTCTATAACAAATCATTTATAATTACATTACAAATTTCTGAATGGAAAATTGTAACAAATGTTGGTGTCTGGCCCAAACAGTGGTGTATTGTTAGTACTGTTATTGCATAGCATAAAAAATATAATCCTGTTGTGTTGATCAGGTACTTACATGCCAGATGAACTTTAGCCTTGCGACTGACCAGCATGCCGTAGCGGTTTTGGGCAGCACAATCGTACTCGCCCATGTCTGCATCACTGCCCTCTCTACGTTTCTGGAAGCTTTGGATCAACAGAGTGCCATTTTCCAGCACCCGAACCCGCGGGCCATTGGGTAAAGGCACTCCATTTTTACGCCACGTGATCATGATCGGTTCCTCGCCTTGTACCCGACAGTCCAGCATGAGTGGACGATCTCTCACTGCAATCACATCAGTGGGCTCCTGCAAGAAGGACAGCTCTGAGGCCAGACAGCCACCTGGAGACAGAGGAGGACAGGTTAGCACAGAGAACAAGGCCAGACTATTGCTCATATCCTTTTTCAAAATGAGTACTTATTGTACAAGAAGCACTCTTAGATTATGATTTATGCAATCCTGTTGAACAATCCTGAAAATGGGGAAAATGTTGTGAAGATTAATAAAGATTGATGTTCACATCCACTGTAGAAAAAGACATGTACTCTTTATTTTTCTCACTCACATTCAATCTTAAATCAGACTAAACGTTTCCTGTTTCAGCTCAGTCAGGATCACCAACATTATTTCTATTTGCTAAACACGTTTGGAGGATGGTCATTAAGGCCCAACAGTTCAGGTTTAGCTCCATCAGACCACAGGACATGTCTCCACTGATGAAACTCTTTGTCCCTGTGTGCATCTACAAACTGTAATCTGTCTTTTCTATGTTTCTTCTGGAGTGATGTCTTCTTCCTCTCTGAGCAGCCTTCCAGCCCATGTCGGTACAGGACTGGTTTCACTGTGGATAATGACTCTCTGACCAGCTTCAGCAGCATCTTCACAAGGTCTTTAGCTTCTGTTCTGGGGTTGATACGCACATTTCAACCAGACCGCTTCGTCTCTGGACACAGAACCGTCTCCTTCCTGAGCCTATGATGGCTGGACATTCCCATGGTGGTTATACTTGATAGAACTGTCTGAACAGATGAACGTGGAACCTTCAGGCATCTGGACATGGTACCCAAGGATGGACCAGACTGGTGGAGGTCCACAGTTCTCTTCCTGATATCTCGGCTGGTTTCTTTAGATGTTCCATGTTGTCACAGAAGGAAGCAGTGTGTTTGAGGTGTGCCTTAAAATACATCTACAGGTGTGCCTTCAATTAACTCAGAAGTTGTCAGTTAACCTATCACAAGCTTCCAAAGCCATGACATCATCATCTGAGCTTTCCCAAATAGTTTGAAGGCATCTTAGTGGATAGAAACTTCTGACTTTGAAGAAAGTAATAAAACATTCTCTCTGTCATGATTCTGGTGTTTAGCAAATAGAAATAATGTTGGTGAACCTGAGTGAGCTGAAACAGGAAAAGTTTAGTCACACCTTGAAATGCAGGAGGATTACCATCAACTATAACACATTTAACTTAGTTTTCACCTCAGACCTACAGACCTGTTCAGGCTTTTCCATCAGACAATATGTCTCATGGAGCACCATGCATTTGACAGTAAAGAACATCTCATCTTTAAGCGTCTTATTTGATAAACGATGTGTTTGGCTCTGTGGACGGTAACACTTTTACTGACGGCGAGCCACAATGGAGGTTGAATGCCAGCGAGCCATCCAGCCAGAGAAGGCAACAACAATGTCCAAGCCGGGGAGGGAAACACTGGCGAGGGTTGCTGGGGTCAAGTTAGGAGAGTGTCTATTGAAGCAGGGCCCGATGACGACAATAGAACTGTGACTATGCTTATTTGCACCCAACCCCCAGTAACCTCTGTAAAAACTCCCATCAGCCACCATGTACCCGAGGGCACCATCTGCCCCCTCTTATGCATCCACTTTACCCCTCCCGCCTCGTCCCGTCCTTTCAGATCCGTCTCTGAGGTGACTTTCCCATGCCACCAGATCTTTCTTGCTCACCCCCGTCCCCTCTCGTCCGTGACCTTGGTGACACTCCCGCTCTATCCCATTTTCTGTCATTCGTCTCGTGTGCAAATGTCCTTGTATGCAAAGAACCTTGAACCCTTGCAATGGCTGCTTTCTTTACCAGCTGTGAAGCTTTAACAATCGCTGTTGCACTTGAACTAGCAAGATGCATGATCAGCGTCTCTACAGAGCCTTGTGTCGGGTCAGCTGAACACACAACAGCACTTATTGTTGTTCGGCCACATAAAGGATCACATCCCACAGACAGCAACTGACCTTGACTTTGGGTTGACTTCAGTCATTTTTTGTGTTTGTACAAAGTTCAGTTTGAATTTGCCATCTGATGCTGTTCCTGATATGTTGAACTTCAATATGCATTTAGATTTTAAATAATTTTTAAAACAATACACATGTTTTCTCACTTCGGTTGAACCTGAACCGTGGAGGCCATTTCTGTCTATTTTCTGATCCGCTCCATAAAAGTGTTGACCTGTCTCATGCCGTTGTAATGGTCTGGATAGGTTTAGTCTTGGTTAGGTTTGAGAAGGGTCATGGTTTTGGTTAAAGCACTTCATAAGGGGACCTGTGTTGACATGATTACAGCCGTCCTAACAAACAATATCAGTTTAAAATAAAACAACAGTTACCTCCCTAGTTTAAGTTGGATATTTTGTCAACCCTTCCAAACGTCCCAACCTTCTCAGCATGTTGACTCTGTGGCTGTTTGACAGACCTGAGCTCCTCCTTTGCTCCTCTAATAATTATTACACCTACTTACTATAGGACCTAATGTGGGAGGGGGCATGGCGGTACATCAGATCACCAAGGCTCAGCACGATCTCTTGCTTTTGCTGATGTGCCATATCAAGAAATGAGCATCTGCCTTTTTGAAAATGAAAAATCTCTCACCCAGCAGATGCCGCCAGCAAAGGCTATTGTAGTTTTGCTGGTCAGCTTAGTCTGGACGGGCTGATAGAGTCCTGCAGGCCCTCTGAGCCTCCATCCCTGGTAATGAGATTCAGGGCTCCTAAAAGGCAACTTGCTTTGTGATCCGTATGCATGGTTAATCTGACACATGGTGCTAATAAAAGACTAATGTTGATTTCTTCCTGAGAGACATGAACATGGTGCTGGTGGAGAATAAACAAGGTTACGTCATAACAGGACCCGTTACCTGTGGTGATAGTGTATAAAACTGGCTGTGAATAAACACTAACATAAATTAACACTGAATGGTGGTAGATCGTTCCAGTTTTCATGATCAGTCAACGCTTATGACATGCCTTTCCAGATAAACCGAGCTCCCATTAAAGCAAAAAAAAAAAGGGGGGGCTCTTCTCCACTGCATCCATGTAATCAATACCATAGAAATTAATCAGCTGCAATGTGCTTTAATCGACTTTCTTTTTTATTTGGACATTTTGCCTTGAGTATGTGCACGAACTGAAAGTAAAGCAATTCCTGTAACACAGCAGTGTGTGACTCTGGACATGTTAAATCTGAATTTGTTCCATATGTGCCACAAGGCTCAATCCTGGGGCCTTTTCTGGTTGTTCTTTATATCAATAAAATCTCTGTATTGGGGTGTAATTTACATCTTTACGCTGATGATATCATTTTGTATTGTAGTGTGACCATTTGCTGTTAAATCCCTTCCAAGTTTCAAGGTAGAGTCCACAACATTATATTACAAAAATTATATATAAATAGCATAATAATAACATACATTATAAAGTATTGGAAGCGTTAGAAGAAAGAATCTTTGAATTTGGATTCAGACAATAACTCTTTTAATTTTACAGTCATGTTTGTATTTTAAAATGGTAAAGTCTGTAAAATCGTCTGTTAACCAACAACCCAACAGTTGTTGTGAGTCTACCCACAGGGCAGTGTGTTGTGACCCTGGGTCATATTGTGTTGATATGACAGATGTCTCTCTCCTCCCCTCAGCCTGTGTGTGTAGTTGAAGAAGAGGTTTCTTGGGGATATATGATATATAACTGCTTTAGTTGTCAACACCTGAGAAGGTGAGAACAAAACATGAATGCTGGGGAGTCCTGTGTTATCACTGCTCTCATGCTGCCTCTATGTTTTGTACTTTCCCCCTACATAATTATCTCTTACTTTTTAAATAAAGTGTTCATGTGAAGACCATTAAATAAAAGACTTTTATTTTATACAAACCTTTTAATTTTAAGTCCATACACCTCAAGGTACTTCATAAAAACAGCTATTTTTCTTTACTGTTTACATACTTCTGGAGGGCACTATATCTCTATAGAGCTTCTCTTCGATCCAGACATGCAAATCAGGAAAGGTATGCGCTTGTGCTGCATACAGTTTTAATATAAATCCTGGTTGTTAGAGGGGATACTGACAGTCTCATACAGTTTTACACAGTCCACTAGAGCAGTTTGCTTCTTTCATTAAATTGCACCATGCCAGTGTCAGCCATAAACACGGGGCTCAATGGAGGGCAATTAGGCTCTGTGTGAGACTGAATAATACTGCATGTGTGTACCAAACAAGCTGTAACTCAGTCACAGTTTGATTTGTGCCTCGATATGTTGGCATTGACATGGATCAATCCCCTGTTTTGTTTCCAGATTAACGCCTCATATCTAGTAAGACTCTTTGCATCTAGACAGATGTCGGACGGCAACAGCGTGTCAAGACCAAAGAATGTCAGACGACAACTTTTTAAGGAATACTGGATGAGCTGAATGTGCTCTAGGCCAGTTGAACCTACACAGGGTGTGATTAAGTGCATAGCATTAGAGATTGGACAGTTTTCAATAAAGCGCTGGCCTATAATGAGATTTTTTAGGAAGGGGTTGTCCAGGAACCCCCACACCAGCACCTGGTGCTAGCGACCTCAAGCCCCTCAGGGGTCATGAGAGAGTCAGAGGTTAGGAGGATGGATATGGAGATGAAGATCTCCCTGTGCGTCACAGCCATTGTTTAGGGAGACTGCTGCCCCTGAACTTCACAGGTTTCTGACCATCCCCCATAAGAAGGGGGCAGAAGAAGACAATGAGGTCCTGATCACCAAATACAAATCCTCCGTCCTTTCTCCCCACTTAGACATCTGTGTTAGAAAAAGCATAACTGGTGAAATTGTGTTAAGAGTAACAAGTAGAGCAAAACTGAAAACAATTTCTAGCTGATCCTTTGCAAGAGTCAAGGCCAGGATGGAGGAGAAAATGGAAGCTCTGGTGGGGGTGGTGTTTAAGATTTACATGTTATGTGTTCATTGGAGTTATCTTGAGACAACCTATTAGAGAAAATGATTGATATAACAGAGCATGTTAAAAGGTACCACATGATCTCCTGTTTCTTATTTCCCTTTGCTGCTGACCCCTTCC